CTTCTAGCTATGGAAGAAATACATCAAGTATACACATGAGAAATTGATGCTATAAGCAACTTTCTTGAACAAGTTGAAGGTTTGCAGAAATTTTTTGAACAGAAATTCGATTTTCAGCATCCAGTATTTTTTCGATTTTTCTTACAAACTTGCCACGTACCCTTTGCGATTGTTTGAACACCATATTGTGCCTTGCTTTGCTCTATCGAGTAATAAGTCAAACAAATCTATATTTTCCTTTTCTACAGGGCATGCACATGTGATTTTGCATCACCCTGATACATAAGTTTTTTCTACTCAACGAGAAATTCTTCATAAATTCAACAAAAGGTTCCCGTAATTTTCTGGAATGTTGTGGATTTTTGATATATACATTTCACAGATAATGGATACATTTCTGGTTCAGGCAAAATCCAACTCGCGTTATCAAAGAGCTTTAACCTCCGAGTTGCTTTCGTAGTACTACTGATGCACCTGGAAGTGCATGAAAAATCTTAGAATATGAAAAAAGAAGAAGGAGAAAGTTTTGAGAAATCAAGAAAAATGGAGGTCGGAGTACTTACAAGGGTACTCGATGTCCGTGGCCTTTTGAGATGAGTTGTATACCATTACACTTGTCTTGGAACGCTGAATCTGACTTCCGCTTTTGCTAATCGTTTTTCTTAGAAAAGTTATGAAGAATTCCCGCGCAAAAGGAAATATGGTCGGAATGCCAAAACAGTCGCTACGATGTGGTGTACTGGCTAGTACGATGACCTCACAAGTCAAAGCAGGACGAGTACTTTTGTGTTCTTCAGTTTTGCATTGCCTCAATCAAGCTAATTTTTGAAAGTCAGGCATTCTCGACCGTTGACAAGAAGATCCTTCATAACCTCCTTCTAAAGAAACATTTAGCAGAAAAGAAAGTCAGATGCGGAATCAGCATTCCTCAGCATTCCAGTCCAAGTGTGATGGTGTACGTTTCATCTCAAAAGGCCATGGACACCGAGTATCGTTCCCTTGTTAGAGAACTGCATCCATAATTACCCTAACTCAAACCCGTAAAGGCGAAAATGATACCATCGGATAGCTCTTCACCCCTTTCTCATATACAGGGTGTCCCAAAAATATGTATCGAACGTTTGATCGTTGATATCTCTCTTCTAAAAAAGTCTTTTCCCTTGCTTCAGGTACCAATTTGTAGAGTTGGCTTCAACTTAGATTGGCATTATAGAACGAATCACTCATCTCTCTTCATTACTGTAGGATTACGGTAGAAACTTGAAAGAGGGTTTTAAGCAATGAAAGGCCATATTTTGTCCCAGAAAGGAAACACAGCCTGAAAACTTTTACACTAGGCTAATTAGAGTTGCTGATTATAATTGTAAAGTTACAACTTATTATGATGCTTCATTGAAGAGTTATGCCAGGTAAGAGGTGGCGGCCATTTTTTCAATGTTCTCAAAAAGTGCGATTACACCGTTTAGAAAGCCTCGTAATCTTGTGAATAGTTGAGTATTGAACTCAGCGTCCATAAAAACCCTATTACACAAGTTTTCACATTTTTTTTTTGAAAAATTTTGAAACGGCAGCTTTTTCCACATTGACACCATAAGTTTCAAGTTTCTACCGTAATCCTACAGTAATGAAGAGAGATGGGTGATTCGTTTTATAATGCAAATCTAAGTTGAAGCCAGCTCTACGAAACGGTATCTGAATTAAGGAAAAGACTTCTTGGGAAGAGAGATATTAACGATCAAACGTTCGATACATTTTTTTGCGACACCCTGTATATCCTATAAGATTGCCGAATTCTTTTAAAGACGAAGAAGGTGTAACAATTATGAAACAACTAATTTATGAGGCACTTCAGTGTGCTGTTTTCAGAGACGATTTTAGCTTCACCTCGTCCATGCTCCAACAATTTCCTATATTACCCTTGATATCATGGAAAGCATAAAGAAAACTAGTCAAATAGTAAGATTAGAGATGATCTCCGTTGTAATGCCACTAAAGCATAAATCTATATAACCTAACCATTTAGCGCTTGACCTTGTCCGTTGACCGATGCTCACGGTAACAGGAACTTGAATGCATTTCAGTTGAACGGACTAAATGATGACGGTTGATGCTCGAAATAAATGGAAATGGTTCGTGAATGAAATGATATTCGAAAACAAACTGGATAGACGTCCACCAGCAGCCACTCAACGTCCTTCTGCTTCTTATTGAGAATATCTGATGAAGGATATTTTTAGTGATGGTTTTATTGAAATTCAAAAATTTCAATGTCTGGTTAGGGCATGTTTTTTGTATATATAAAAAATGTCCTACACTCAGATATTTGTCTAAATAACCACATAAACTTCCACAACGATGCATCGCATCTATTCCAATTTTAGCAAAATTTCCTTTGCTGTAACGAATCTGAAATTTGCAAAAAAAAATTTCGTATTGTTTCCACTTCAGTGGAGTTGTAAACAGACTGTAGAGAAGTATAATCAGATTCGAGATCAACGAATTCACACATTACAATACCTCCAAAATTCCACTTGGGGAGCGATTACAGTTTATTGATATGCGATATCATCAAGGACGATATCATTTCGAACACATCATACATGGCTAGCTTTGCATGATATGATCAATCGCTAAATGGTTTTTATGACGTATTTGTCACTTGGAAGGTTGTAATAATTTTTAAGAGCGGTCTGGATGAGTTTTTACTAAGCTTTCTAGGAAAGCGAGAGTCAATCAAGGCGGCGTTCCAAATTTTCTGTCGCTATATTAGACGTCCTTCATGTTTTTCACGCATTCGACAAGCTGAATGTTTATGTTACAACAATCCGCTTTTTCAGGAGAGCTAACTAGCAGTTTACCAGTCAGTCTTTCCCATTTGGTGCGTAAAAATCTTGAGAAATTCCTTTTAAGAAAACAAAACAGTGTGTGGAGATTACGCTGCTCAGAGGATCACACACTCCGCATACTCAACACCTGAAACCTGCGAATCCCTAGAGATATATTTATATGGCAGGTTAAACAGAAATTTTTTGACAAGAATTTGTAGCACAAATGTCTTTTTTGTTGTTCATGTCTTTTTTTAAACTGTTTGAAAACATAGAAATGAAGAAGTTGTACGCTCAAAAGCATATTTTCAGATTTTATAAACAATATCCATCATGTCTTCGATGTCAGCAAACCGGACCCGAATAAACAAATCCATGCACGTAATAGTCAATTGAAAAGAGCCTTTCATCTTTAAAGTCTACAAAAAATAATAGTTTTTGTACGGTTTTATTCAATAAAATGCATTCGATATGATTACTATGTTGTCATGTTCATGAATATATGTGTTACGTCAAACAGCATAACATAGCGCTAGTTGGTAAGTCTTACGAAAACTTGTTTCTGAGGGCAGCTTCTATGGCTAAGTGCTTGCGAAATTACATTTGGATTTCGTTTTCTATTTGTAAGAAAAACACGTGCGACAAAATGAATCTTTGCGGATTGGATGGGTCAGCACCTATATGAAATTATGATTGGAATTACAGTTGGTTCAAATGCCCTATATCAGAATAAATCAAGTACTTCACCTTGCTTACCTTGCTACTTTACCTAACTTCAACTTTACCTTACTTGCAGGAGGGAATCTCAAATGTTATTAATGGAGAAATGCCCAATAACGTTTAAGGGTCGTTGTTTGTTGAACCTATGGGCTATTTCGAAATGAGTTCAAAAATTTTAATGGGTGAAGTTGAGAAAGCACAGAAATTGTTCCTCGCCCAAAATTAGCTTTGAATAAATTAGCCAAGTATAGAACTGTAAAATATTAACTTTTCTCAATATTTGTGAGAAACAAGGGGGCCAAGACTTAATTGCTTGTCATGAAGTGAAGTTGTGCTAATCTAAAGCTATTGGGTTGGAACATAAGTCTTGCGCCAAAGATTATAAAAAATTTGTCTGAAAATGATCAGAGCAACGTCTTAATCTGTTTAATATTTTTTATTGTATGTGATCATTGCAGTATTTTAACGTGTACATCAGATATTTTATTTCAAACAATATCAAAACACGAAGTCAAAATTTCGGAAAACACAACTTCTTGTAGAGACGTCCTATCAGCACACGTATCTTGGTTGGAAAGCGTAGGTCAAAAACTTAGATAAGAAGAATTCAGAAATTTCTTTGCCTTTCAGCATCTTTTGGTGATTAAAAGTTGAAAAAACGAGATCTGAGTGTTTGCATTCAACAGGTTCTATTGCCTCGATGTGACAATGATGATTCTTGCTTCAGGGAGATTCAGAAAGACAAAGGTCTCTCTAATATCTTGAATAGATTCATTGACCCTGGAGGAGATTATGAAATCTGAAAAACTGTAGTGCAGGACTTATTGCAACCTAATACAGTACGGTACATAGTAACACTGATGACAGCTTGAGCCACCGGTGTCCCACAACTCTTCGGAAATTGTTTCAATATTATTTTTTTTGTAGAGTCTTACGGGTGGGACAAATGTTTAATAAACAATTCCACAAGCCTTGGCTGCTGGCTGAAAGCAAGTCATTTTAGGTAATTTCGGTATCAATAAGGTCAAGCAGTGAAGCGAGCTGGTTCATTTGTACACGGCTTTCATTGAGAAAAATGCACTGTACTTTTTATAACAATTCCTACTTGTAAGGAGGACATCTATGATATGGAAGTATTGTTGATCTCAAAATGTAAATATTTGAGAAAAGCAAGTCATTTAAGGTAATTTTCTTTTGAATAATTGTCTAGAATCCCTAGCCTTAAGTAGCTCAGTTTGCCTCTTTGATTCTTCTCGCGCGATTAGGCTCTAAAAGCGCATGTTTCAAATGGCTAACATTCCTCTTCGCTAGCAGAAAACCACTAACGTGTAGTTGCCCTTAATTGGGGGGAAAAGAAAAGGCTTTTGCTTTAAGAGGGTGGAAGGGAACGTGGGTGTGAGAGAGAGAGCGGTTTTTGGTGGGCGGTCGGACAGCCCGGTCTCGCTTAGTGTTCACATCGCACTTGACGATGTATCGACGACGCTACAACGACTTCTACATCTTAGCCGTCATCTGTGCTCTGATACCGTTATCAGCTCAAGTTTTGAACGATAATAATCAAAAGCTCGAGTGGATCCTTGGAAAATGGCGGTCCGAATTCTCTGGAAAGGTGAGACATTCCACCCTCCCTTTCTCTCAACTTTTTCCACTAAATCTTCAATTTTTGCAAGGTCTTCTGGCCTACCGTCCCAACCATGACATTCGGAGAAGAGCTAATGATCTACGAAGCCCCAGTCGCTAAATCTGCAAATGTTCAGTTTTTGAACTTCTCGTGAGTCGAACCTGTTCAAGAGTATGACACTGAGCGAACACTTCCCATAGCAATTCTCTCTCTCTCTCCTTCTCTTCAACATAACCGTGTTCATTCACGCAAAACTGAAAATAAGTGTTCCTAGCGAAAACCTGACTTCATCTGACTCTACCACAGCATTTCTATCCGTCAATAATTTGCATCCGACTAATTATCTGCAAAAGAGACAAGTGAAGTGGAACCAATTTTGTGTTTTTAGCGCTAGAGCATGGTCTCACTCAACTAAGGACCATTTCCATGATGAATGGGGATATATGACTGTAGACAATGGTGGTAATGCTACTTTGATGACAACCGGAAATAATGGTGAGTTTGCTAGAGATGATTATTTTCTTATTTGTTACTCTTTCTTTCCATCTTTTTATACTAATTTGTTCAAATTGCGCCCTCGTAAAAGTCTTATTTCTGAAGTTTGAGCTCTCATTTCTTAAATTCAAAGTAAATAGAATAAAGAATAAATAAATTTGAAAAAATAAGAGTAAATTTTAATAGATCGCAGTTTATCTTCCGATTTTTGAGATATGACTATTCACTCCTTCTGAAACTTCCATCTACCTTCCTCTTGCGTTTTACATCCGAATCTCTTTTGCAAATTTTTTTAAGCTTGGTTCCTTCAATCAAGTCGTCAGTTAAGCAACGAAGACGAAAATCAAAGAAAATGATTAAAGAAAAGCCATTCACTGCTCTCCTATTCAGACTTGTCTAGCCTTCTGGTTTACCCTGTAAGAACAACAGCAATTGGCAGTTGCATCATACCTTTACTTTGCACTGGCCCTCTCCCTCTACACTTATTTATTTATTTATTTATTGCGCACAAGGCGTGCGATAACTAAAATAAAGTACTGAGAACGTAACCAGCAGCATGTACAACAAACAAAAAAATATCTAATAAGTCAGCTCAAGTCCAGTCACCAAATAGTTTTGAAGAAAAATAAGGAATAAAGCTTGTATAGACTAATTATGGAATCATTCTCTTCACTTCTTCAATTTTCTCTTCCGGTTCGCCTATGGTAACAACAAATTGATACATGAGTGGACAGTTTGTTGCAAAGCGAAGCCTCGTGCCTCCGTTTTCTACAAATGGTACCTGTTCTAGATATAGACACAACATAAAAAGCACAGCTACGTCAGAATCTGGCTGCGCAAGCTTTGTCCGAAATGCGCATTAGATTTTTCGTGACCATAAAGCCGTGAAACACGCGCCTAGTGAATTGGTTAAGAAACGGCATTTTCCTCTTTCTTTCTTCTTCTCCTTTTTCCCAGTGTTCTTCAGAGTTTCGTCTCACTAACAATGAAAACTCTGAATGAACCGGCTGTTTAGCGATGAAAGTGGTGAGAAGCCGTGTGTAGGAATAGCGATCTGAGCTAATGATCCAGTTCTCTACATGCCTCAATGCTACGTAATAAGTTCACACATTACAGCGCTAAGACGCTACACATCTTGCTTATTTGATCGAAAACAACATGCTCAGCTTTTTTTTATATTGCTACATTTGTACGATTGTAAGCATTACAGGCTTTACGACCTATGAGGTGGGCCAGGTGGCGCACCACAAACTCGTTCTCACACTCAAGGATATAGGACGAATTTCGTTTTCGCGCGATTTGCCCGTTGAGGATGTGAGCCACTTTCAACTTTTAAAAGAACATCTGGCGTTCTTGACCTTGGAACAGCTTCCTTCTTTTGCTTCAGAACGGCTTTGTGCTTTTCAGTTACGTCGAACTTTTATCAAACACGATGATCGGTACATGGAACAAGTGCTCGAAATGCGCACTGCTACACATCCCAAATCTGGTTACTTGGAGCATACGAGAGTGATATACACAAAGCAAAAAGACGATTGATACCGTATATTTACCCTCTACCAACTGCCCATGAAAAAACGAGTAGACTATGTACAGAGTATTAATTATTTTAATAAATAATTAGAGCCCATTTGTCGATGCTTGCCATTTCCCTGTCTGCAGCTTTTGTCGGGTGTGTATCTCCTATATATAAAAACAGTTCCGGTTTCACCAAAGCTTTTGCATGCTACGAACAGACACGTTTCTTTACATATGAAACATTGCATGTTGAAGGTGTGACTACAACCATGACTTGTGTTTGCCACCGTGACGGATTGAATGTCGAAATAAATTGTCACTGCTTGTTAGGATCTTGTGAAGATTTATGCTATATGCTTGATAACTACCTGAAAAAAAGTGAAATTATTGACACAAACAACTTGATCCTTTAAAAACGGCGACATTTTGACGACTGCTAAGAGGCGAACGGCGCTGAGGGTCCTCATTTCATCAAGATACTTTCTTTTTGAACACATTGAATGATGATTGAACGCACAAACCAGTAAACGATAGGCTTCCAAGTTTCCGCTAGAAATCGCCGTGCATAGCTATGCCCGGATGGCTGGGGGAGGAAGGAGGGGGGGAGGGGGGGGGGGGAGGACATTACACCTCCGAAAGGGGAGTTCCCGCGCGGATATTTGCAACGGACCACGCGCCTTCACCATGACTGCTCAGACATTCGCGGTTGACGACCGCCGGTGAAAGGGAGTTCGACTCATTGACAACCTGCGGTACACATCCTTTTGTTTCGGGATAATCCGGCTATTGGTTCGGGACAAGACTGCCGGAGAAACGCCGGTCGAACAGGTTTCACCTGCGTTTGGTTCGGGATTCACCTGCAGCACATGTTCGGGTCGAACGCAGGTGAAACGGCGGTGAAATGCAGGAGTCCCGAACCGACCATGGGGCGTGGAATTAGCCGTAGAGCGCACTTGATATTGTTCAAATTTCTCGCATACATTGTATACTATGTAAACAACAGAGACTGAATCAACAGAGATTTATTCATCTTAGGTTAACTCAACGACAAAACCATAACAAATGATAAGAAAACTCGTAACAACAGAATCGCAGCAGCAAAATAATACATTCCTGAGCAAAAAGAGAAAAATCTAGTGTCAAGAACAGAATCGCAACAAGAAAATCATACATAACATAAGGAATGCATTGAATTTCCATTCAATGAGTGAACACAACAGCGAGAATAAGCTATTGCTATGGACTGAACATCATGATATAAGTAGATAAAAGCAAGTTTTGTTACATTGTTTGTGACATGGATGATTGTGAGGCAACTTCATACTCTCAACAACAAAATCACAACAAGAAAATTACACATTCCTGAGCACAAGGTAGCATTCGATAAAGTAAAAAAAAGACTAAAAGAAATGGCTAGAGTTTAGTGAAGAGATCTCTCTGTTATTCAAAGGTAAAAAAGGTATATACTTCACTTGAAAAGGGAAAAAATTTAAGCACCGGCACTTTCAACCATACTGGAAACAGTTGAGACAGTTGCGATGGCATTACCCAGAGAGGAAAGGATAGCGATAGCCGATAGGGATAACGCATAACGATAGATTTAGCGATAGCAACAGCGCTAGCGCATCAAAACAATTTCTTCTTTGAAACACATTCTTCCCCAAATCAGCTCAATATCTAAACTTGCACTGAATATGATATCTTCTGCAATTTCCATGGTGAAATTTACCTTCTGTAAATTCTGCAGGCGATAAAAGCAATTCACCGCCAAATAATCCGAGTGCTACAAGCACGAAATCTGAGATTTGAATTCAACTCCTTTAACTGGTCTTAAGAAAACTTGCCTATGAAATAGGTGACTAGTGACTCAGGAAGGTCCTTCAGCCTTTTATCCTTCTACGCAGAAAAATAGACTTATTTTTGGAATTATGGTACTTTGCTCTCTGCACTTGTTTTTCTTAATCTCTCACTCTGCTCATGACTACGCCCATCTGTAAATCGACGTTGAGTATGTGGAAGCATTAAACTGATTTGGGGAAGAACGTGTTTCAAAGAAGAAAATAGTTTAATGCGCTATCAAAACCGCGAGCAGACTACCCAATACATGCGCAATACCCCTTTGCAAATCTTTGTAGAGGCCGCAATCCTTTTGCGAGCTTTTGTATTGCTATCGAAGAGAGTCGGCATGTCGCTACCAAAATACTAAAGGCCATCAAAATCCATGTCAAAAAGAGTGATTCTGATTCAGCAGATGGAAGAGAAACCAAGTTTCAGAAGTACAACAGTTAAGAAAGAAGTACAACAAAGAAAATGACGTGCTTCAAAAATCAGTAAGCCATAAGCAAGGCTGGCTGTATTACCATCATAAGCTGCCACAAATATATCGCTGCCTTATTCCAGCTCTGATGCAAAGAGAATTGCTAGGAGTAGCTTGAAACCCTTTCAATACTCACAGCTTAGTTATTCTTGTGTTTTGTCCAGTTTGAACAGCGTAATGCAACGGAGTATAACCATCTTTATCGGTTGCATTCACATCTTTTCGCCAACCTCCAGTATTGTCCCTAAGCAAGATATACTCATTTACAGTCATAAAAATAGCACGAGTAAACAACAGGAAAACTCACTGAGAAGCTTAGTCTGGGAAGCCATAGCTGCGTAGTGTCTTACAGTTCTCCCACATGAGTCCCATACTTTGAGATTTGCTCAAAGTATCTCTCAGGTCTCTACAGCCCGATTGAAATGCAGCAGAAGGGGGAACCAGCTGAAAACAGATGGGTGTCAACCAGAGAAGTAATCACAGAAATTATCTATGATAAGGGAGTATGGCGAGACAAGTTAAAAAAAGAACAGTGCAGAAAGGTTTGCAAAATACCTCTCTATCTGATGATGCAGAAGCTCGATGAAGTTCATGAATGCCGTTCACTGCGTTACCGTTCCAACTGAGACGCCTGAATAGTGCGAGAATTGTCTAACATACGTCTGAATAAATATCAAAGAAGTTAATGTATACTACTTTAGGAACATAAACCGAAATCATGACTAAAGTTGAAGATGTGAGCTTACTTGACTGCTTCGCCTGGCTACAGTCGTAGCAAACGGCATTGGGAAAGCCAGATTTATACCATATTGATTTGCACTCATCATTTGCGTAAAGTATTGTTGCATCACTTTCTGGTAGTGAGCTGGCGAGAAGAAAAAAGCCGCCATGCCTGTCGTATCAGCAGCGGCAAGGCCAATGTTTGAGCCTTCGGGTATGATTCCTTGCGTGAACTGGGACATGAACAGATTTGTGAAAAATGGCATCTCTGTAAGCAAAATAATCGAAAACTTGGATCCAATCTTTGTTGGAGCCAGGGTCAAGCGTGTGAAGCTACTGTCGCAACGGGGGGTCGTAAAGGGGGCCTACGGTGAGGGGAGGGTTCATAATGGGGGGTAGTTTGGGTAAAAAACCGTACAACTGAAAGCAAATCAGATAGCAAGTAATTATTGTAAAGAACATAACTAACTATCTGATTTTTGATTCCCTTTTAGGCTTAGAGTATTTTAGCCCAAGTACCTCCTCTTAGGGGGGGGGGTCGTACAAATGGGTACCTTCAAGGGGGGGGGGTCGTAAATAAGGGTCCAGGATCGCATCAATAGGCTTGACTCTGGTTGAAGCGTGTCTCAATGGAGCGCGCAGCTCGACAACTCTAGGCTTACTATTCGAATTCGAGGTCAGAAAGAATGCTGCAGGATGCCGGGTTTGATTAGCTCTCTAGCAGATGCATTTCGCACAGATGCACAGATGCACATGCAATGCCTATGTATGGAATGAAACTTAATAAGTATCACACTTTTTTAGACGACCGGTCGATAGTAAGTATAACTTTGAAGAAGGGCAAAGTTCTTGGACAAAAAAGTCGTTTCAAACAGTGCAATTTAGTCAAAGAAGAGAAAGGCTCCTGTGACAGCGGAAATTTGAATATGTTCATTGTAATCATCAAGTTTCTAAAAAATAAAAGAAATAGCGGCAATGCATGGAACAGTGGATCAGCGAAATAGCCGAGAAATCACATCATGCAGCCATATGTGTTGAAGTTGAAAGAATAATAGATATTATTCTGACTTACATTCAGCCGAGTCTTTTAATTTCAGAAACAAAAAAGCAACCCGGATTGCGCAAGAAAACGAGGTTTCCTTCGCAAACAAGAAAAACCGATCAACCAAGCGAGTTGAAAACAACAGAAACACAATGGCGATAAGTCAGCAAACCCTCAAAGTGTATTTTTTCAGCTAGGTGGGGCGATTAGAAGTAGTCACAGGAAAAGATGATGATTGCAAAGAAGGACGAACTGTTCCAGAAAGCTCTACCTTCATTAACCAAAGATCTACAGGCTTGCTAAAGCTCTAGACTTTGATTTTGAAACAGTATAAGAGATCGGAGAAAAAAGAGATTATGCAGATGGAGCACGGATGTCAATATGGTCATTATGCTGTCTAAGCGTGCGTGCGGCAACAAAATCCATGAATCCTGATTAGCATATAAGCTGCGATGTCTTGAGTTTGAAAACAAATTGAGTTTATTTACTTGACTTTTGTTTATTACACTTCAAAGTGCATCAAAATAAATCGAAACAGCGGAGACTAGAGATTAGGAGACACTGAATGAATTCGGAGAAGGGAAAGAGTTATGAAAAAGGTGCGCAGCTTGCCACAATGCATTCCTATCATTTGACTAATTATGCCTTCAAATTCGAATGTAGAAAAAGTTCTTGGCTTATTACCCTATGGCAAAGAGATTGTCAAGAGGCAAAAATTCAATATTCTGTGGGACAAGGCTAACACTCAAAGCAGATGCTCAAAACTTTGCCCTCCTTCTTGTCTACTCAGATACTTAGGTCCGGAGCAGGTACATCCCCGCTGGGAAGGGGAGGGGTCGGAGAGGGGATGCGTCATATCTCGCTACTCTGCGCATCTTTCTTCTTCTTTCTCTATCTTGCTCATGAAGGTTTTCACACATTTATATCTATTTTTTTTATTTTGTGTGATCCCCAGGGTATCAGGGGATCACACAAAATAATGACGGTCTAATCAATCACGTAGTAACCAGGCATCCGTTATGCGTAAATAGATGTATGACAACCTTCATAAGCAAGATAGAGAAAGAAGAAGAAAGATGCGCAGAGTAGCGAGATATGACGCATGCCCTCTCCGATCCCTCCCCTCCCTAGCGGGGATGTATTACGTGCACACAGACAATAGTGATCAGTTAATGTTAAATAAAGGAAATGAAAATAACAACAAAAATCACCTTTAAAAGATATAAAAGATAAAAAACAAATATTTGTCAACTTACATCTTCCTCATTATCCTCACTCTTAGATCCTTGGTTGGAGGCTCAATCGTATCAAAGACGTTGAAAAAGCGATTGGTCTTGACTTAAAATTTATGCACTTGGTTAATAATCAAGGAAAAATGAGGCTCTGAGTGAAGCTACACACCGTTTTTGTCATAAACTTTCCCAGCGTTGGCCCCTTCTTCAGATTCTTTTTCACAAAGTTTTTAGTGATAATTCTGGCTTCATTCCACTGGATCGTGTCGCTGCAAACAGTTCGTGCGTCCAGTGTCTACAAGGCACTCATCAAATTAACACACCTAACAGCCCGAGTAACAGAAGGCCCACCAAAACCAGAATGATCCTCTGCATTAGACTTAATTTCCATAAAATATCTTCTTCTTCAATAATCTTCAATACAGCGTTTGTGAAGTACTCATTAGGAGAGAAATGGAAGTAAGTAGTGAAACCCTGAAAAGAAATATGAAAAGAAAGATGAACCTGAAGGATATGAAAGACTTACATGTGGGTTAACTTCAATAGAAGTGGTAATATTGGTCAGATGTTTCAAGATAGTTGATAGTTGATAATTTGAACCCAAAAAGAATCCACCATACAAAACAAGACCCAAAACTAGTATTCACTGAACAGATAAAAAAAATCAGCGAGTTGAAAAATCCCTAAAAATGCAAAAAGAAAGAGCATGGAACTTGAGGAAGAAACTCTATGACAAACAAAGAAAATTTGTATGCAAAAACCGTTCAGTCCAAGGAAAACAAGTACCAGACTTTGCGTTATGGGCGCTGAACATGCAGATACAGCAAACTCTGCCTTTAGCAATTCTTCTGAAAGTGTGCAAACAAATCGTGTACAAACAAATCCCCCTTAACAACTGTCAACACTTGACGCGAAGAAGCAAAGCTCTTGTACTAAGAAGGATGACTGATCTGAGCTCAAACTTCAGAAGCAGAAGGTTGCAGTCCGAAATCCGATAATCTGAACTTGAAATCAAAGAAGACGCCGATGAACGCTGGGAATATACGAAGCTTTAGGAAACAGGCGGAACACTTGAACGTGTGCTTGAAGCCGGCTATCCTCGCTGCATGCAGGCGATCGATTGTATTGATACGCGTCGGGACAATCCCGACGCAATTGCCGGTGAATCGGGACAACCGCAGGACACAACTTTGTCCCGAAACAAAGCGAAAGTGGGCGGATCTCCGGCGGTCGTCAACCGCGAATGTCTGAGTGCCTCATGCTAGCTGTCCCCATGGGTGGAACCTGTCGGCGACCTAATGTCCTCCACCCTGGTTGGAGTTGACCGATGATGTCTGCAACTACAGACCATACGTCAAATGTTCGAAGCTTCTTTACAAAGATTATTACGATCAAATTATACTCAGTTGAGCGAAAAAAACGAAGGAAATTTAGTGAAAGTAGTAGTGTCCCTATCTTGCTTTTGATAAATCCTTTAAAGGCACCGTCCACCCTAAGTTGAGGGTGTTGAGCACTTGGCAGCATATAACAGTAGGGCCTCCTATCAAGCCAATGCCCAAGTCGCGGCGCAAAATGCCGCTTCGGAAGCGAGAAAATCGCTTGGGAATAGCGAAGATGCACGAGGACCCCCATCCACGCCCGCCCTCCCCATCCATGCCCGCCCATTTGTGCGCGCTCATCCAATCACCGTTCTGGAAAGCCGGTTTGTGTGTTCTCCGGAATGGGGATTTTTGGGATTTTCGCGGATTCTCGACTTCATATTTGGAATCAGGGACATGAGAAAGGTCCGAAACGACAAAAACCTGGAAGTCGAGAATCTGGGTGGACGGTGCCTTTAAGCTTGTTCGGCATGAAAGAGTGATGTCCGCAACAGTACCAATGACTGCAGCTATACATGTGTGTTGTCTCGGTAAACCATGGATCTTATCATTAGTTCATTCGTTGATCTCGAGAAGGGACGGTAGACCTCAGTGAGATCTGCCTGCTCAAAGAATCGGTATAAATTGTGGCGTTCAAAGATGCGGTCTCAGTGTTGGGTGGTGATGGTGCAATTGCACAAACCGTAACTACTCAGGACGATTACAACTCGAACACTATTATGCAAAGGAATGCTGCGATATTGGCAAAGATACAAACCGCTCGTGACAAACGACACTATACAGGGTATCCCAGAAAATGTCCTTACTGTTTGATTCTTGATAGCTCCAGTACTATAATTTTTCGCCGCTAGTAGGGTACCATTCAGAACTGGCTTGAACTTGAATTCAAGGTATGGGGCGAATTACCAAACTCCCTTCAGTACTGTAGGATTACGGTAGGAGCTCGCAACATATGGCGCCGTTGTAAGATAGATTGGGAAGAAATAACCAAAAATTCTGGGAAGTTGTATAACATGCTTTTCGTGATGCTGATTTTACTGCACAACTTTTCTTGAGTTTTCAGAGCTTTTTAAATTGTGTAATCGAACTTTCGAGATTATCAAAAATAAGTTGTTACGGTATATCCGGCTTAACTTATGGGAGAAGCACTAATCTGATGTGCGAGTCGTATTTGTAATCAGCGACTTTGATTAACCCAGTGTAAGAGTTTTCAGGTTATTTGGTTCCCTTTCAGGCATAAGATATGGTTAACCCAATAACCTAGTCAAAATTCCAACCGTAATCTTACAGCAACGGAAAGAGATGTCTAATTTGCTCCGTACTGTAAATCTCATGTAAGTTGATGCCAACCCTACAAATCATACCTCACTTGCGGTGAAAGACAATGAAGCAGGAGAGTTATCAATATTCAAAAAGAAGCGACTTCTGAAACATTCCATAGGTTGCAACTGTTGCTTACATAGGTACTTACGAGACTCACAAGAGCGAAACAGCATGCTTCCGCGCGCAATCATTTGCTCCGCCTTTGCTCTCGCCTGCTCGGAGTCTGACCAATCGCAGCCTATACGCTGACCAATCGTAGTCGCGTCGCTATGAAAGGCGGTTCAGGTTGACCGTAATTCTCACCCACATTACCTTGTAAACCGTAACCTCATAAGAAGGAGGACGCCTATAAGCGAAACAAGCTATGCTTACAAAATTACAAAATTTCTTTTCGACGAACTTACCTAAAGACCTAGCATATAAGGCCGCTTTTGACCTAGATAAGGCTGTTTTCATTACGGTCCGCCCAAGTCATTTCTTTCCATTATAACTACTCTAAAATCTTGTCAGATAAGCCGGAAGAGGAATTATCTGTATCGGACTTATCTTCAGGCGGATTTTTCTGCGTGAAAGCCCTATATGTCAAATTTTAGGGTAACGACACATCCAAAAAAAAGTCTCTAGTATAATTTGAACACAATGAAACTCAAGCATTTTAAGGATTATTGTCACTTAAAAATCTACGCCTTGATCTTGTCAGACAGCCGATGGTTCACTAAAAGAATGTCAGTCCATAATTCAAAATTTCTACTTTTGTTTGATGATATAAGGCTTTCCAAAGAGAATTTCACCGTTTTATCGTTTAGAAATTGGTAAGTCTACTGTATTACTCTGGCCTTGTGCTACTTAAAGGCCACAAGACGCATAAAACGTTCAAAACAGATAATGAAAGCCATGATTCGAGAAAGGTGGCTTAGTTTTTCCACGCAGATCATTCTCTTCAAGTCAGCATTTTCGTGAGAAAGAGAAAATACTTGAAAATTGCCATTTTGGAAATATGATTTTGAAAATAGGGAGAAGTTACTAAATACAAAAGAATTGGGCCTGTGGAAGAGCTGGGACAAGCGTTTGAGATTTTAGCCAGGCAGCTACAGTAGTTTGACTTGGACGCCACTTCAGCAAATTCAGAAAAGGCCCAAAAGCTTCTGAATGAATACGTTCACAATTCATAAATCAGTTTTCCAAAATTACAATCAAATTTACGACATGGCCCCAAAATCGTCGTGCAAAAGTTTCTGTGTAAAGTCTAGATTTACTCCAGTAGCCGCCTCTTTGTGATGGCACACATTATCCTTCGAAAACTCGTTCCGAAAAAAGAAATAGACAATCACTGCTAATTTTGCGCTTTTATGGCAAGATTCACCCACTTCCCTATTTTTATAAGAACGGAAAATGCTACAAATACCAACTACGATTTCTGTATCAACTATTGAATATCTCAGTCGTTAGACGGATGCTGCATACCACGTATGTAAATTCTTTTGCTAATGAATTTTAAAAAATTAATTAATAAAAAATAAATAATAGTAGATAAAAGATTGATCAATCAATAATCAAAAATAATAAATTAATGATTAATAAATTAAATAAATAAATTCTTCTTACTGCCTATAAGCTCACTAAAGAAGAACGAAGCACTTAAGCGATATGATATTTCCAGATTACAATGGTTTGGTCTCAGCACTGAATAAACATGCGGCCCTGACTTAACACGCTAACGACCGAGCCATTTTAGACATCAAATTGAACGGAATAACTAAATCTGCAGTTTAGACTCCTCAGCAGCTACCGCGATGCCTTGTATTGTTTATGGAAACCAGACCACTAGTATTACTACTGTATGGAAGTTACCTAGGAACTTTTCGTTTACACATGAAAAACTAATCCACGAAAGTCTAAACGGGAGTCGAGGCGTGCATACGCCCGTATGCACACGGTCGGCAAAGTGTTAAATCGAGAACCAAGGCGGCCACCTTCATTCATGTCTGGGAAAGAAGTATCATGGAGAACGTAAAGATTACTGCGAATGGCAAGTCTTCCTTCGGAGATCTTCTTCATCTGTCTTCACATTTTATACGGTTTCGAACAAATCCACATACTAGTGAAGATAGTATAGTGTCTCTGCGGTGCCGAAACACTTACGCGAGAACAAAGTTGCCAAACGCGCGCACAACTTTGCGTCCCTCGACGACCTTCTACGCGCAAATCTTGCCACTGTCGCAGAAGTACCATATCGAGTCTCTACTAAGGGCATAGAGCGATGTTAGCGGTCTTTGCAAAGTGCTGAGGAATTGAGCATCCACGTCCCAAGAAGAAGAAACTAGACTGACGCTCCCTCGATTCAACCAAAAAAAGCATCGCCGTCGAAGAGACTTCACTTATGAATATTTTCTCGAGTTGTGACAAATTTTCAAGGAGGACGTAAGATTCTCTGTAGAAAGTGCCGAGATGGAAGCTGAACGTAAGGTAATCAACTGCCACACAGTTTCACGGTTTGGAGTCCTCTCTTTACAGCTTCACGGAGTGTTTGAAGAAATATGAAATGAGCGGCTTCAAGTCTCAAGTCACGGGCAAAATAACTTGAAAAAAAGGCATTATGTGAAGACAAAAATGGCTTTGAGTAATACACGTGGACCACCTTGCAAAGCATATCTGCTTGATAAACTGCACAATTCAAAGCGGGAGACAGTATGTCGAAGATAAAGTCCGCCTGCGCGACCTGGGACAAGGCTGTAATGAGTATAGTCGAGGTTTTCCGCTTAGTATGGGAACGGCCATAGGTTCGCAGTGTTCGCGGTGTTCGTGGTGTTCGCAGTTCGCGGTGTTCGCAGTGTTCGCGGGGGAATAGTATGGCACAGTATGGTAATACTATCATAGTATCATAATAGTATAGTATCGAATAGTATCATCTGGAATAGTATGACCGATATCGACACACCGACAACACCGCGAACACCGCGAACACCACGAACACCACGAACACTGCGAACCTATGGCCGTTCCCTATAGTGTGCTTGCACTGCAGGTGGAATGCGGTAAAATTAACGCGTAAACAGATAGCTACGCCTGTGACGCCGGTCAACGCGCAAAATTCTCGCATTACTGTCGTGGCTAATCTTATATATAAAGCTGAATGTCTGTTTGTCTGTCTGTCTGTATGTCTGTCTGTATGTCTGTCTGTCTGTATGTATGTACGTATGTTCCGAATACAAATTTTTATTTCTGAACCGATCGGGACCAAACTTGGCACACATATACTTCAGGGCAGGGAGCGTGTCATAGGCTACTTTTCGTTATCGATCGATATCGATTTTATTGATTTTTTGCAAAATTCGAGCTAGAGGGCTGGGATTTGGCAGAGGGGGGTAATCGAGCATGCTGATCACCCCGAAGGGGTGATCAGCATGCTCGATTACCCCCCTGTGCAAAATCCTAGCCCCCTAGCTCAAATTTTGCAAAAAATCGGTAAAATCGACATCGATCGATAACGAAAAGTGGGCTGTGACACGCTCCCTGCCCCGAAGTGTATGTGTGCAAAGTTCGGTCCCAATCGGTTCAGAGATAAAAATTTCTATTCGGAACATACGTACACGGGTCTAGCTGGCAGGCCCGGCGGAGCCGGGCAAGCCAGCTAGTTAACCATGCGCAAATTTCACCGCATCTCACCTGCAATGCGAGCACACTATATTAACACGTTTCGGACCGCGAAATCGCGCGCGGCGAAAAAGGGTGCACTTTCGGCCGTTAGCCAGCAAAGGAACCTTATATCGCAGATTGTGGACTACCTATGTAATCAGCGTGCCAGATAAATTCCATACCCAGAGTTCTGGTTGAATTCAAAGCGTTTGAATTGTGTCGCTTGAGAGGGACTTTTGTGCCTTCTTCAAAGATAGGAGCAAGAACTCAGTTTCAAATTATCTAAAAGTATCTATGTTGTACAGTTCTCGTCACTATTGAAACTACGGTTTATCTCTTTGAAATCGGAGCAAAGGATGCGACGTCGCACGCGTCGTTCGCGTTGCCGCACCTCGTTGCGACTGTTGTTCGATTTGTCCTTATATCTCGTAAGCAAATATTGGCGGCACAGCTCTACAGAGTCAGTTGAAAAGTAAGAGCTTAGACCTTTGACTCAATAACTTCGGACTTAGAGAAAACCTCCTGCAGACGTCAGAAAGAACCTTCAAAGCAGCGTGCTGCACCATGTGCAGCACCTGTCCGAAACGTGTTAAGCGGAAATTCTACTTGACTGTAGGGGTGCGCGGTGTGTTGCAGATGTGTGCGCGGAAACTTCCTCTTCGTCGGCCGTTCTCTAGATAGCAATTTGTTACCCCAGTCTTTGCCGCATTTCGGTGTTCTATAATGTAGTACACATGATGCTGTCCACCATTGTCACTGAAGTCAGAACCCACCGGTAACACCAATCAAACAAACCTGCACTGATGAATCAACAGCGAAGATACAGAAATGTTTCATTCTCTTCGCAAGTTTCCTCAAATACTCACTTTGTCAACAAGTTCACATTTCACCACGCTTTCGGACTATAGTATGGAGACTAATGCACAAATTCTATTCCGCTCATGCAAGTGAAAGGTCAAAAATCATAATTCCATTCGTAGTAGACGCAGTCCGAGCGCAGTTTTGATATGCTCATGCAGCATTCTTGCAGCAACAATATCCCATTAGAGGAAAGAGTTAGAAGGACTAAATGCCACGGAAACATATTTAAAACACCTTACAAAGACATAGTTGTGTAGAATCTTTAATGGATCGACATGAACTGGGTATTTTGCAAAATGAGGTAGTGTATCTCAACAAGACTTTCCTAGATTTTAGTGGGAGAACCAATTACAAGGAAATAGTATGTACCATCTCCCTTGATCAAGGGTGCATTTTCATAATTTTAGTTGAAAACCGCTCGCGTCGCCGCGCTTTCTTCGCGTTTCTGATTGGTGACGTGTACCCCGCATCGATTCCCTTTCACGATATTTCTATTACACGTCGACAAGATGAGGGAATTGCAAAGAGATTCAAAATTGGATAATTTATGTTTTCCACGGTGCCGTCACGTTGAAGTGCACATTTTCCACCTCCCTTTTACTAATTTTCATGTTCAAATATTCTGTCCATTCTTATTCTGGACGTACATCTTTTTAATTCTGATGTGACTCTGGCTTCTTTGCTCATCCGCATCAATTATTTTGTATTGAAATTCAAATTGCAGAGCGAGATGATCCCATCATTATCATTTCGTCGTTTCTTTTTGGGTTTGGTAATCTGCGCCTGTCTGTTCGTCTATACAGGTATGAATTTCATTTATGGTAGAAGCAGGTTTTTGAATAATCGGTTACAGATGGCGCACTTGCGGCGATGTCCATTGACCTGGGTTCGGAATTCATCAAAATAGCCATAGTAAAACCTGGAGTGCCTATGGAAATCGTTCTCAACAAGGAAAGCCGTCGAAAAACTCCACATACTCTAGTCATTAGGAATAATGAGCGATTTTTCGCCGAAGCTGCAGCAGCTATGGTATGTTTGACAAGAATCAAATTTTGATTAGGATACGGTAGTGAATTTCCAATTCTAGGCTGTCAAATACCCGCAAGCTGGATATCAACATATTCTTTCACTTTTGGCCAAACAGAATGGGGATCCTAGTGTTGAGCTGTATAAGAAAAGGTTCCCGTTCGTGGCGTTGGGCTTTGACGAAGTGAGAAAAACCGTTGTATTTCCGTCAGAGTTAGTTTACCTCTACCTTGTCATCGCTAATTTTTTGATATTCCTCTCTTTACATTCCGGCTTTACCAAAAATGTTTACCGCTCTTCATGTGCTTTTGCAGTAACGCTACATACAATGTGGAAACTCTGCTTGCCATGATCCTTTGGTCGGCCAGACAGGCAACCGAAGCTTATGCTATGCAGAGGGTTAAGGTAATGTTGAATCAAGCTCATCGTATCCGCGCAAAGCTTCGAATTCAGGATTGTGTGATTACGGTACCAATATATTTCAACCAAGCTGAGCGTCGTGCACTCGTTACCGCAGCTGATATTGCCGGTTTGAATTTGCTTCAAGTAAGTTGATGTGTCAGTGTTTACGGATACCAAGCGCAGAAAATCACTCTAGCTCCTGAATGACGGAACTGCTGCTGCTCTCAATTACGGAGTATTTCGCAGAAAGCAAATCACCGATAAGCCCCAAACGATGATGATCTATGACATGGGGGCAACAAAGGTTCGTAATGTTTTTCTTGTGGAGGAGGTGCATCGTTAATTTTTTTTTTTGAAAATTTGTTGTCACACTATTGCTTTGTGGTTATGGCACTGTCTGGAAGACATACTCTGCAAGAATGTGTGATTCAAGCGTTCTGAAATTAGTCATTTCATTCTTTGTTCCTAACCTTTAAGATGATTTTTCAATAATTTTTTGATTGTTTTTTATCGCCATCCATCGAACACTTTTATTCTTCAGACTACAGCCACCATTGTCGAGTACGTCCTTGAGCCTGACAAGACCAGTAAAGTTGCAAAGACATCAAATCCTGTTGTGAAAACCATTGGGGTTGGCTACGATAGGACTTTGGGAGGATACGAAATCTCGCTTAGATTGAGAGATCATCTGGTGAAGGTCAGCTCTTCAAGCATCGCTTGTGTTATGTAAAAAATTCTTACTTGGTTAGGTCGTCCGTGAAACCATGAAAACATCTACAGACATCACGGAAAGCCCGAGAAGCATGGCGAAGTTGTTGAAAGAAGCTGATCGTGTAAAGCAGGTTTGCTGTTGTCTATATAGCTGTGTCCTCAGACAAGCTTATTATTTCAGGTACTATCTGCCAACAAGTATCATTTCGCACAAGTAGAAGGCCTCCACGAGGAACAAAACTTCCGTGCTAAGGTAGAGCGTCCCGTAATCAGTTTTCTTTCCTTTTTCTCAATCATTATAAACTTCGTATAATAGAGTATTCTTTTTTTTTTCAATTATTGTGATGATTGGTCCTAGATCTTATCCACATAGATTAGTTCATGAAATTCAATGCCAAATTGTAGGTTACGCGTGAGGAGTTGGAGGAACTGATCTCTGATTTGGAGCCTCGTTTTATCCAGCCCATCAAAGATGCTTTGGCTATGGCTGATAAGAAGATGGAACAGGTAAATTACTTCTGCATGGTCTCATCTGCGTAGGATAATGTAAGATTTATAGATAGATCAGTTCGTATTGATGGGAGGCGGAACTCGCATACCAAAAATCCAGGAGGTGTTGAAAACTGTGCTGAATGGAAAGGTGGGTTTTTCCCGCTTATATCCTCACTGCAAGAAATACTCTGATCCAGGAAGTTGGACATTTTCTCAATACTGATGAGGCAATCGCTCTGGGAGCCGTATATCAAGCTGCTGATCTTTCCAAATCATTCAGAGTCCTACCGTTTGGTGTCAAAGAAATGGTGTTGTATCCGATCCAGGTCAGGCAACTAAACTCTGCTTCCATGCGTTTTCGTGTAATATTGTCCTTCAGGTCGCTTTCAAGACGAAGTCTGAGGATGGAACATACAAGGATGTTGCCCGCCAGATCTTCGGACACAAGTCTTTCTATCCTACAAGCAAGAAAATCATAACTTTCCAGTCCTACACTGATGATTTTGAGGTTTGGTGTAAAGTGAATAAAACGTATGTTTTTTGATCTGAATTATTTCTATAGGTCGACCTTCGATATGGAGCTCTGGAGCACATGAACGATGAACAGAAAAAGTTAGCTTGGCTAAAACTGATTCCATTCTCTTTAATAATAATCGTTTCTTAGGCAGTTTGGATCAGTTGAATTGGCGCAAATTTCTGTCAAAGGACTCGCATCAGCAATCGAAAATAATGGATCCTGTGCTGAGTGTGAAATCAAGGTAGGTATATGGATAACCTTTTGACGGGAATGTACTCAGTATTACCATCACCAGGGTGTGAAAACGATTTTTGGCGTTGATCTCTCTGGTATCGTTTATGTCACAAAGACGGATTTTGTTGTGGATCAAAAACCGTCAGCAGAAGGTGAGTTACGGTGTCTCATTGCTGATGTTGCCTTAATTGAACGTTCCTCTAACTCTTGCTTTTTAGAGTTGTCTGCGTATGAGCAGGCTTTGAAGGACTACGAAGAAGCCAAAAGAATCCGAAAGGAGAAGGAAGAGGCCGAGAAAAAGTTGAGAGAAGAGAAAGAAGCAGAGGAACGTAAAAAGAAGGCTGAAGAGGAAGCCAGAAAGAACGAAACAGATGAAGAAGAAAAGGCTCATGACGAGGGTGAAAGCGCGAGCTCCGAAAATAAAACGGAAGATGCTGAGTCGACTACTGCTAACGCTGAGAAAGCAGAAACTACAGAACAGCCTAAAGAAGAGAAGAAAGTATGCATTTTCTCTTTTTACCTTCCTTTTCAACTTCTCTTTTTCAGGTAGAAGTAGAAAAACCTTTGAAAGCTCCAGTTGAACCCAAAACTAAGACACTGAAAATACGTTTGAACACTACTGTGATCTTCAAGGATCTTCTCGATTTGAACGAAGAGCAGATTGCTGAAGCCAAGAAAATGTATGTATCATATTGACCGTGTCGGTAATACGATAACTAATGCTTCTTTTGTAGTCTGGGTGATTTCCATGATGCCGAGCATCAAAAGCACAGACGAGAAGAAGCTATGAATGCACTTGAAGGACTGGTAAGATTTTTTTTAGCTTCCTCATTGCTGCTGGTTTTGAAATACTATGTATTGTCATATAAATGCAGATCTACGATCTTGCTGTGAAGATTGAAGATGGTGAAGAGTTTGCAGAGTATTTGACGGCGGAGGATAAAGAAAAGATTGCTGAAGAGGTTGTAATCTTATCTATAATACCGACATTCTGTTTTGAAACAGAAACTCCTTTTTAGCTGAAAAGACTGCGTGTTTGGATGGAGGACGATGTAGGCATCGAGACCCCCACTGAGGACTTCATCTCCAATAAGGCTATACTTGATAAACTTACTGCTGCTGCACATAACCGCAAGAAGGAGAGACTGGTGCGTTGAAGATTATTTTTTTATTTCGTGCAAAAGCTGGGCATTTACTACTCTCAGCTTAGGCTTTCTTTTTGTACTTATAGTGTTTTATTACTGTCGGAATTCTGTCGCGAGGTTCATGATGCCATTGTATTGCTCTTTAATAAGTGTTTTAGATGTACCCGAAAATGGTTGAAGCCATGAAGAGCATTTTCAATGAGTCGCAAACATTCTATAAATTTGCACTCAACTTAACGACTGCAGATGACCCTATCTTTACAGAGACAGAGCTTGAGGTTAGCTACCGTAATTTCTACGAACGAATTGCTTCAAACATCTTTTTTCTTCCAGGTTTTGTCCAAACTAATCAACACAACGACGGAATGGTGGGAAGAGAAGAGCGTTGCATACGAGAAGCAGGCAAAGAGTGAAGAACCCGTCATGACTGCTGAAGAAGTAGCCACAAAGGTAAACTAGCCCACAAATTGATGAGTTACCTATTCTCCCGCCATAACAGATTCGAGATCTTGATCGCGAGGTGAAATACCTGTTGAACAAGATGAAGAACTTTAAACCGAAAAAGAAGGTGGAGCCTAAAGAAGCGGAGAAGACCAATGTTACTGATGAAGATAGTACGACGGAACGCGCCGAATCTAGCGTTGAGGAACCGAAAACGACCGAAGATGTTGCCAATGTATGTTAAATCGAAGTCTATAGTCACCATGCTCGAAATGTGGATCGAAATTTTTTTACAGGAAACTAAACCCGAAGAAGAAAAGCCCGAAACTAAATCTGAAGAAGAAAAGGCTGAAAAAGTCGAGAAGGAAGAGAAAGATCACGATCCTTCTGAGCTATAGACATAGCAGTCTACTTAGGATTTCTTAATGAATACGGGATAATTTATTGAATTTTTGTGAAATTTAGTCATTTAATGATGTCAAGTATGTACATGTTAGGCGTGTGATCTTTGCCGTTGTTTTCTCAATCAATACATCTCTTTGACTCTAACATCTAGAAAAATCTATCGGTCATTTTGGATGCGGTTTGCAATCACTTTGAGCTTTGTTGTTGTCGTTTCTCTCATTCCGAGCATTTATTTCCGGTCAAGAGAGTTGTTGTTCTGTTTATTAGGCATGTTCTGTGAATGTTAATTGGGTGAATAAATCTGTTTTCGCTGTGATTTGAAGTTTTTGTGGTGGGGCGGAGAATATATTTTGGTTCAAAAAAAGGTGCGCATTCCAGGTCGGTTTTTTTTTCTTTGTGGAAACTACACAATGGGGAATGATGGACAAGGGTTTTGTGAGAAACTTCAGCTTGAAGACCTCATCCACACTTCTGCTTTCGTGTTTTTATCATACTCGGAGCTCTTCATTGCCTCTGCTTCGAACAAAAATTGGAAAATACGTACTAGTTTCGGCAGCCTGCTTTTTGACGGACAATTTATGCAAGGGTGGACGAGTACAAGTTTTGGCAATAGCCGTCGTATGTAACAGGTATGAAGGAGCACAGTTTGCGTTTTGGTTCTGACTGCCTTGTCAGGACGCGTTAGGAAGTAATCCTTGTGCAGGCGGAGCCTGATCGGAGGGCGGGGCGTGTAGCAGCCTTGTAGACTGCATGTCCACTTTCTCTTTTTGAAAGCCAGGACCAGTCGAAGATGCTTCACTCCTAAAGCCTGCTTTGTATTTATAGTAAATTGGAGCATGGGTTTTGCATTGACGCTGCCTCCTCCGTAACCCAACAAAATGCGAAGTATGCAAGTGTAGATGGAATACCGTTTGGGGCACTTTCAATGAGTACCTGATTCCATTTTAGAATATAACCAAAGAAATATCCTCTATATGTGTTAGTGTACTGCGGCTAAAAATTCAGCAATCTTTTCTCATGTTCAATAACCTACAACTCTGATTTCTTGCATCATGCGCAACCATTGAAACTCTGCTGATTCTTGTATAATTTTTGTGTAGCAGAAAGTCTTTTATCCGGACCTCCCTACAGTCTCTACCACAATACAATCTGCAGTAATCATCTTCTTTGGGGGATGACAATTCTCTTTAACTGCGCAGGCATAGCGTTCACACCTTTCGCAAAATGTTTAGGTTGCTTTTAAAAGTTTTTGCGAGCTTGAAACCCTGAAATTTTGGACAAGGGGAGAGCAGCCACCCCCGCGAGTATTTGAAATCAAAAACTTTCATCGAATATTTTTATCACTTGCAAACAAGCCTATTGGCTGTTCCATATATTTTCCGATTTTAACATTGAAATCAATATATCATGACAGCGAGAGAATCTACAATGGCACAAATACATGTTCGTAATTCTCAATACATAGATAATCACATGTGGGAGGAGAACCCAGGAAAGGTCAAATTTTTCTTCATTTCTACGAGGAGAGAAATGCGGGACTTGTTAAATAAATTTTCTGATGTATCAAGTGTTTGTTTGGGCGGATTGGGGATCTTTAGGATGTTTCGGAACGGATTGATTGATTGATTGATTGATTGACTGATTGATTGATTTAAGCTAAATTCCGTTTTTGAGTACTATCAAATTTGGCTATGAACTTTATGCGGAATACGATCTAGGTGAATGCTTGGTGACCATCTTGTAGATCTTGCTTTGTTCTATCGTACGGTAACTCAAGCTGCACAAAGTGACAGAAAGACGACTTTTTTGTAAAATTGGAAAAAATTATGGGACGCCCTAACATGTAGCTACTTTGAAAAATTTCGCGACCCATTCCCGGGGGGGGGGGGGGGAGCACCCTCCGTCGCTCGGTCTCCGCCGCTGTTCTCTACTCGGTTTGCACAATGAATAATGATCTTTCTTGAATTTTTAATTTGAAATTTCAAATATCTAGATGGCAACAATTCGATGAATTCTTCTCGTAATGGATTATACAAGCCGAGGCCGCAATTCTTCTTTAGTCTTGTTAAAGTCTACGGTTACGAAAGCTTTGACCAGGATGTGGATTCGATAGGTGAGCTCGCTCATTTCTTCATTAAAAAGGAACAATCTGTCATTCTTTTCATGCCCTACCAAAATTTCAGTAAAAGGGCTGGACTGTGTGATCTGGAGGTGGAGGAGCTTTTCTACTTTGGTTTTCAATTCTAATATCAGCATCGACGACATTTAGGCTAAACAGCTAAACGATATCCCTGCAGGTTGAGTAGGAATGTTCCAGAATGATTGTTTGACCGGTAAGTAACTTCAAAGTAAAACCTTGTAGTAATTTGTCGTTTCTTTAGTCGACCATGTTATTTCGGATGCAAGGAGCGCGGAGTTTATCGCGCTCCAATGCCATGATCGCGCCCGCGAAAGCATAAACTTCATTTTTGTCCTCGAGAAAATCAGTCGTTTCTTCTTGTTCACCTTTTTGTGTTAATGTCGCGCTTTGAAATGATCAGATATATTGGTGAAGTGTTCGTCTACCGTTTTGAACTCAGTATTGCGCAAAAAGTATTTCCTGTCGGTTTCTTTGACTGTGGAAACTTTTAACAAACTTCCACTCAAAGACTCCGCAGTTCTTTTCATCCAATTCTAGTTTCAGAGGGTAAGCGGCAACCTTAGCAGATTACGTGGTGCATCAAAATTTTTGCAAACATTGCTTTAAGATCATTTTTTAATTTCCCAAGATGCGTTAAGATCATGTTTTAGTTTTTCGAAAAAGGCCGTTGATTAAGAACGATGGATCGTCTTGAAACCGCCATTGACGTGCTTGTAAAAGAAACTTGCGAAGGCTTGCTCAAACCAAGACATATTCGGAAGGCGGTCAGTTTCAAATAGTCGTGAACATCATGCTGTTCATCTTTGCTTCTTAAGATGTGGGCTATTCCACATTGTGAAGCTAAGATTTCTGTCTTACCTTGTGAATGTAATATTGCTTTACTCCAGGCAAAGGAATGTGGATTAAAATTGGACAAAAAGGATGCTGATGAGGCCACCATGAGACTCGTGAAACTTTTCGAAGAGAAGTTTCGTGCAGGCATCGATAAGGTCATCGACGATTCAAAGGTGATACCTTAACTAAGGTGATTCTTTCTGAGTTCATGTATGTTTTGTGGTTGAGATAGAGGAGAAATTGGCAAACTTGGAAGTACTGGCCAAGGAGTGCAAGGAGAAGTGTGAAGAATATGGAGTTGAAGACGGATACCGTCCGCTCGGAGTAAGCTTCCTTTACTTGTTATACGAATGTAAATTGTCCCATTCGCTGTTACGCAACTTCTATAACCTTTTCACTTATATGGAACGCTGCTTTGTGCATAAGGGAACCAAAACTTTTTGCGCTAAAAAATAGCTGTCGATGTTGAGAACCCAACAACTAAGAATTTCATGCGAAAGCATAGGGCATGAATGTCATTTGAATGGTAGTTTAAGAATGTTTACCTCTTTTTGGGTTCTTAGTAGTTAGCTGCATTTAGCGAATGTATTTACAGTATCTATACAGGTCGACGAAGATTTAGAAGGTCATATTTATCCCATCGTTGCCGCATATCAAGAGGCGTTGACAACGAAAAATGAGGAGCTAGAACAAGAGATAGAGGTTTGTTGATTTGACAAAGTACGTCAACCCCTTTTTACTTTATAGGAAACTCGCGAGCTATTGAAGGAAGTGACTGAGGAAGTGAATCAGTTGGCCAAAAAAGCCGAGGCATTGATGGCCGAGAAGTAAGATTTTCATTTCGTTCTGCTTCTATCTCTATTTCCTGATCTACCATCTGCTAAATTACTACCTCTATTTCTTGTTAGATGAGGCAGCTTAACAGTCTGTTTTCTTCATTCCTTCTACTAACTAAGCAAACTGATGCGAGTTGCAAAATCTGCATTCGATTTGACACTTTTTAGCAAAAGTCCACACATTTTGATTTCAGGGACGAGTGATTCGTGCTCTCAGGAAGTCTGGCTGAATTTACCGGTGCTATTACTTTTTTTCATTGTCCTATTGCGGGTTTTGATTTCGGTGTTGTTCTTGTACAAACCATCTTTCTTTTTTTGTGGAGGTAATCTGCCGATCTATCCATCTATTTAGTAAATGAACATTATTCAAAATATTTTTTCGCAACATCATCTATCGTACTGTTCCCAAACTCAAATGATTTCTCGGACGCGCTGCAGGCGCGAGCTCAACGAGCCCAAACCTCTGGTCGCGACACGCCCTATCAAATAATTGTAGCCCGATCTGTTGGGTGCATCCTCAAGTGCCTGTGATGCATCTGCTGCTGGCCCAATCAGCATGCTTGGTGAAGTCTGAGAAATCTGTTTACAATTTCAATCAATTTTTTCTTTAGTAGTCATTTTTTTTTCTCTAGTAGTCAATGTCTTTCCTGAGTTGGGTGAGGTTCAACAACCCGCTTGCTCTAACATCCCTCAATCCCTAATAGTGCCGGCCAAAATCTGAAAAGCGAAACCGATGCCGCCACCGTGAAAATCTTTGCCATTACCGCTTAGGTAACTCCATCACTGCCGCGTCCCCCATGCAAGTTATAGTTGCGCTTACAACATGTAAGAACTGACGTGCAATTAGACTTGCCTCGTCCAGGTGTTTTTATTGGACTGTCGCTTTTTGGGCAAGAACATCTCTACCTGTGTGCGAAAGGCACATTGGCCGTGGCGTACCATGCTGAAATTTCATGGGCCGCGGTGCTTCTTGAGATTTCAAAAGCGTGCGGCGCTCCAAGTAGCTCGGTTTTGAGGCCCGCGTCAATCAAAAGGAAAGGAATGAATAATAAGGAACTTTGGTTGAGCGATCCCATCTATATGCATATAGTTCATTTATAAAACCGTGACGACGGATTTTAGCGGACTTTGCGTCACCTCAACATTCAGCTCAGTTACTTCCAGTGTGTGAATATTATCATACGTAAGCAAAAAATCATTCGATTGGAAATAAAAACCAAGAAAATGCATTTCCGTAAGTGGCGAATCGACACAGTCATTCGGCGTCCATGTATGACCTATAATAGAACAATATTTCTTGATAGGAAACTCATGCGACAAGTTTCTTCTCGTACACAAAGGCAGTGTCCGCAAAATGGTGATGAAGAACATTTTGCCTAACTGGACATACCGTTGATCGGACAAATCCTGCATGGAGTGCGCATAAATGTCGGAAATAGGATACTCCAAAGCCCTTGATTTTGAATGTGAACGTGACGCAGAGGCTGCCAAGATGTCGACAAAAAAATTTGGCCGGCGGACATCTGCAACTGCGAGGAACGGTCAATCAACCGCGCAGTACCCGCTGGTCGTCCGAACCCGCCGGAACCTGCGAAATAAGGCAGACGAATGATATATGCCTGGAAATTGGCATCTTAGAGCGCGAGTAAAATACCGCGCTCTTTGTGAAATATACATGTCAGTCACAAGTGACCCAACGGTATTTTCAATTGCGTTTGGTGGACAGGTACCGCGGGTTCTGATGGGCACTGGCGGGTACCGACGCGGTCTGAAGGACGCCTCAGGAGGCACGATTAGCGCGAATATTTCGCGAAGTAATGCCGAAACAGTATAAGCGACGTCAACAGTATAAGCGCTCCTTGTTTATGGTATCAATCATCTATGTGCCCCCACCTCCACTCCCTGGATCTGTCGGCTTTCATTTTGGGTGGAAGAGTTTTTGTGGAGCACAGAATCTGAGCGCGTCAAAGCGGCCGCGCGCGGCGTATCTTTTGACGTGCAGTCCTGCCACTACAAAGACAGTCTGTCTCAATTGGGATCATGCCGAAACGTTGACTCGAATGTGTGCGCTTGCAGCGCTAAGGGTTTGCGCTGCGTAGACGTACCGTCGGAGAGAGCGAAGAGATTGAAAAGAGCAAGCAAGCTGTAGGCGTGACGCAAAATCGTGGCGATGCGGATGCACATTTCCAATTTTGGCCTAATCCGGATTGGGACAGGTTTATGGTTCAGAGCTGGCGCATAAACTTGAGCGTGGAGATGGGACTACGGTGTATTTGGCGGATCTGCTATTCAATACCACCAGAATTAGACAAGGTCCATTTGCAGACTGCTTTTGACATTTACCATTGGGCCATTATCTTGATTTTCGCCATTTCGGACTAAAATGCATATTGTAGCCAAAGTTGTGGACCCGGTAAGCGGTAAGATCCGAAACGGTTATGTTTTAGCCTAGAACCCCACTAGATATCTTCGAACATGTGCCAAAATCCCATGATGTTTCATTGTAAACTTACAAAGCAGAACTGCAAAAGACGTATAAGCCACTGTTGTACTGCCGTGAATGTGTTAAAGGCAGCGGCTCGGCAGAGTGACAACATCGGGATATTCATCGTTCTCGGTCGATAAGCTAAGTCCAAGACTGTGCTTTGCAGCTTCAAAAGCACCAATAACCCGCTTTTCCAGACGTGAAAAGCGCGATTTTTGGGCGGACCGCGTATCTGCCCTTTAGAGCGCGATTGGCTTGTGAGTAGAGACACCGTACCTACTGTACACGATATCAATAAGCTCATCCACGGAAACCGAGAATGATGAATATATCAAAGTTGTCATTCTGTCGAGCTACTGCCTTCAAGCCCGTCTCGCCTATACATTCCTTCTGGGGAGGGAAGCCATCTAAAAGCTTGTGTTCTTCGTTGCTTTTTATTTTTGAGGGCCCTAACCACAAAATGATCATACGAGAATAATAAATAACAGCGCGTTGCCGTGGAAGTAAAAATCTCACTGCTTTGTGTGATCCAATATCAACAGAAGGGCGCCTCCATTCTTCAAGGGCTTTTTTTTTCTCAGTAGATTCAAGAGAAGTGATTGCAATTCAGAGAGGTAAAAACCCTTCTATCTTTTTCAAAAGTATTCAGTGTACAGTTGAAGTTGGTCAATTTCACCTGCTCAATGTATTTGCAAAAAGGGAGCTGTCGCCGTCAGCGAAGCAAGGGCACATGCTGCTTTCTGTAAGCTCCGAAACTCCTGTCGTTCAAACAGGACACCTTCTACGACTGCTGTATTAATCGCCGAACATTCTGTACATAATGAAAATTTTCTCCAAATCACATGAAGAATAAACATTCTCAATGTTTGTGGTATATGCATTTGCATTATATGCTGACATCAATCTCTCTTATCACGGGTAGTTTCTTATATGTTGGCTCGCTGGCTGTGTTCCGTCGTTCGGAGTCCATACGAGTACTCCATTCTTCTCCCTGGAACAAAACTAAGGATGAAGTTTGAAGAGGAATTTGCACAAGAAAGTTGCAGGGGTTGTAGCGATTATAAAGCATTTTTTGCATGTTGATACATCAAAGAAAGTGCCTAGTATGCTTGATAAAATGAATCAATCACTTTTGTTGATGAGAAATCAAGTTGAATTCCGAGAAAAATGTCAAAGCTGGGATTGAGCTGTTGCAAAAGGAAAGAAACCCCGCAATCAAGATGATTAGCAAAGTTCGATGCTATGGATTTCACAACTTACGAAATTTGGGCTTTAAAATGGAAAATTCATTCAGCACTAATATGTCTTTAAGCATGTGTGTTTTTGAAGTTAGACTCCAATTCCACTTCGTGCGAAAGCCGTGTATGGTTGATTCGTTGATCGCACGGACTGGATATCATTGCGGAGCACGCGCCGCGAGGTAAAACGCTTGCCCCAGTACAAATTCGCTATTCTACAAGTTGTGCTCTCGCGACAATTCAGCCGTGCCGCGCGTGGTCCGAAGCGTTTGAGCAGTCCGTGCAATCAATGAATCGACGATAGATTTATATGGACATCAGAGTCAAGCTTGTGATGCGACTGTCGCAACGGGGGGTCGTAAAGAGGGTCCTAAGGTGGGGGGCGGGGTCGTAAGAGAAGGTAGTTAGGCTAAAATACCCTAAGCTTAAAAGGAAATCAAAAAACAGATAATTAGTTATGTTCTTCACAATAAATCTATAAAGAAGTGGAAATCAGAAAAAAAAGATAAAAAATGTGTAAAAATTTTCAAAAAAACATTTGCAAGAGCTCAAAACACTTTTGAAGGATGTATGGTTTGATAAAATTGCTAAATGTACCGATTGCCTTAGAAATCTTGCTTCTGAAGCCCTCCTGAAGTCTCATACACTCGACAAAAGCGAATATCTTTACCAGCTGTGACAATCATAAATTTCTAAATCTTTTTGTAATGTTTTTCACGGGCCCATATGATTTATCTGTACTTTGGAGATGCTCCGCTACATCAATGCAAGATTTGGTGTTATTTTGTCAACTGTGGATTTTCTTATAATTTTATGTATGGTAGCAAAAAATCAGGAAAGGGGGGTCGTATGTGGGTCGCATCTAAATTTCTTCGGAGCTATTGAAGCTTGTTGGCTGCAATTCTGCTGTAATATGAGGCCATCCTTCTTCTTTCCCTCATAAAAATTGCAGGCTGTTTTATAACTTCTCTGGCAAGTTACAAAATTTTGAGCTCAAATTCCCAGTTTTTGCTTTTTAGGATCGCATCTAAATTTGCGAGAGTCGCATCTAAATTTTTTAAAGCTTACTGCTCCTCATGAGCTGAAACTTCTTCTATGGATAGTGTGGGCACTATACTACAGAACCTGTGCTTTGCAACCTCTCAGTCTTTTCCTGGCCTTAGTTACGAATTTTCAAAATACCGTGCTCATGCACGTTTTCGACGTCGTTCTGGACGGCGCTCAAGCGGTTTTTTTTTTCGCGGGAAAAACTGTGGAAGAGGTAGGAAGTAAGCTTCTTAGTCGAAAACATTTTTTGTAGTTCAAAAATGTCATTTTTTTTCTCCATGCAAAAATTTGTGTCGCCTACGGGAATCGAATTTGCTAGTCTGAAGTATGCCTGAAAATTCAAAAAAAACTTGCAGCTTCTCAAACATTATTGAAAATGTGTTTGTGTGCTACAGATGCTGGACGCACCCATTGGCCTAGAAATTCTGCTTCAGAAACCTCACTGAAGTTCTCACGCAGGTGTTTTTTGAGATTGACATTCGTTTATGCAGGTTACCGCGAGGAATGTGGGCAGGAGAGGTAAGGGGGATAAATGGCGGAGGGTGGGGAGGGGAGGGGGGAAAGAGGGGGGGGGGGGTCGTAAGATGGGTACCTTCAAGGGGGGGGGGGGTCGTGAATGAGGGTCCCGGATCGCATCAACACGCTTGACCCTGATGGACATAACAAATCCGCTAAGAAAATTCGTGCAATTACACGGATGAGCACGGAAAATATGACAAATGTTTTTGACTCTATTTAGTTTTATGTAGTAAGGCGGTGTAAGGTGTGCATAATTCAGCCAATGATTTCTAAGCAAGATTTACTCGCCATTATTCTAATTTTGTCGAAGAATGAATTTCTCAGGAGTTTGATGATAATCGTATCAAATACTTACATTGTTACTTTTTCCAGAACTGGTCCTTCCACGTGCAAAGGAATTTTTCGTAGACCTAAAATTTTCTCGTCAGTTACATGATACTTATTGCTGGAATAGTATGATGAACCTTGTATAGAACGATATGGGTGTTGTAGATTGACCCTTGACCCTGGGTGGTCGTGAGATCTTCTTACACATTATTACATACATGCAAATTTGACGAATATCAGGATTGATTAAACAGTAAAAGTAGAAATTGAGTGCAAATTTCGTAAATTCCAGGAGATTGACGATAGCTCGAAAAACCTGGAAGGGTTCTGATGCAAATTGTAAAAAGAATTAGAGTGCAATAGACTTGCCTGAAAGGGTAAATTGTTTGATTTGTTGTCTGCTACAAGTATTGTGAGAGGAGCTGCAGGTATAGTGCAAAGGAAAAAGATTATGATGATAGTGAACAGTAATACGAATAGCCGTTTCTCCTCCTCAAAACTTATGCTAAGCAATCACAACAAACGTAATATATGTAAACTTACCCTTTCGCTCTTCTCAAATACAAAACGCTTTTGAGAACTTGTTAGTCGTAACATTCGGTCCTTCTTCGTGTTTCTGAGAAATGTAGGTCTTAGAGAGCAGCGCGGTCCAAAGTTTATTGACTTTATGATGCAAGAATAGAACACTAGAGCCTCCCAACCATCTCATCTCGTTGGACTATGAAGGTAATGCCCGGAGTTGACCGTTGCCGGCATTGTGCCAGCGCCGTTCCATCGCCGTGCCAAGCCACGTTGATGGCCACTAATCGTTGGCAGACGTTCCGCGGCGCTAGCACGAGCTGCCACGGGCAACTCTGAACGCGCGTCACCTCTTGCCCAAGCACCTAAGAAAAGGAGTTGAAGCTAATCATAAGCGACTAACAAATATGCCCGGCTACATCGGTCTGCCCTAACTTGCGCATAATTTTGCAATCTAGCAGTGATAGAATCAGATGTTTGCTCACAAGCTTTTTAAATGGTTTATGTTTTTGGTTAAAAGATGCACTTAAAACAAAAACGAAAAAGCTTCTTGTGTAGTCCCCGTTTGAGGCGTTTAATCAAATATATCAAGTAACATGCCCTTTAATCATATCTCATTTGCTTCTTTTTCTTCAGAAATAGTGATTAGAAACCTATCGCGTTCAGGTTCCAAACCCGTAAAATTGGTGAACCTTATAATACCCTCCCTCATCGTTACGCTGAATCTGATCTTCCTGAACATAACACACGATTTTGACTATAGGTTGACCGAATGCGCTTCAAAAGTTTTTTTGAGACAGCTACGGAGGAAAGCTTGTTTCTTCACCAAAGTTTTTGTTGCGGAGAATATAATTAAAGAAATATCTGCATTTACTGCGAGTTACCGCTCCAGAATATGATCTACTAGCTGGCTTACCCCGGCTCCGCCCCGGCCCTGTCAAACACTATGGTGAAGCTCTCATCCGTATCCATGTACAACCTTTCCCTGTGCCCACGTCTACATGCCATTTCCCTATTCCCGCTGTTTTAGAAATCAGCATGCTCGATTACCTCCCTGTGCCAACTCCCAGCCCCATAGTTCATATTTTGCAAAAAAAATCAATAAATGATAAAAGTAATGGACGATTTCAAAAACTAATGTTGTATTCGTAATCAGCATGCTCGATTACTCCCCTGTGCCAACTCCACGCCCCGCAGGTCGAACTTTACAAAGAAATCGATAAAAATCGATAACGACATCGATCGATGACGAAAAGTAGCCTATGACACCCGCACCTCCCCTAAGTGTATGTGTGCCAAGTTTGGTCCGGATCGGTTCAGAAATGGAATTTTCTATTCGGAACATACGTATAGACACACAGACAACACACAAACAGACATTCAGCTTTATATATAAGATTAAGATGAAGTAACTCAGCTTTTGTGAAGTATCATAACTAAGGAGTAAGCTAGAAGGACCAAACCTGTAAGTGATGAGAATTTTGGCGTTCATATAAGCAACCAGGAAGAAAGGAAATACTCGACTGATGAGTTCTCGAACAGTTTCGTAAACCATGAACCAGTCAGCTGGAATTGTGTCACAGACAATATACGGACATACATCGTCCGGAAGGGCATCCTGAAGAACAATATTTTGAGGAAATGTCGCCGTAAGTTTCAGAATCAAACCTTTCCAACAATCAGCTTCAAATTGTGCACTTCTTTCTTGACAGCCCATGGTGCATAGATACAGAAATTGAATATGTATGCCAGAGAAAATAGGATAAAGCATACTTTTCTGGACCTGTAATGGTGCGCATTTCAATTTTCTGATGTATCAAGTGACTAATAAACAGCCTCCACCTTAGTCCATAGGCGAAGGGACGACATACAGCCATATACTGAGATAATGTTAGAAATACGACAATCCATACTGAAGCACCCATTAGTGCATTGGCCTGAAGGTGTTTTTAGTAATAGGCGACGGAAATATTTTTTACTTTGATCATTAATATTTTTGTAAATACCGTCCTCTAATTCAGTTAGAAGTACTTGGTCTGATGTTTAGGCTACCGTCTCTAACCACCCTTTGTACAGTCGAGTAGATTTAGCGGCAAATATAGTGTGCTTGCACAGAAGGTGAAATGCGGTGAAATTTGCGCGTGAACAGGTAGCCACGTCAGTACCGCGGGCATCTTGCGCGCGCAATTGGCCGGCGTCACAGACGAAACTATTTCTTCACGCGCCAATTTTACCGCATTTCACCTTCTGTGCAAGCACACTATATTTATCGCTAAATCTACTCGACTGTACCCTGTTGTGCCAGAAAATATTAGAACGATGGGGTGAGGCTGGGGGTGGGGGAAAGCCTCTCAATTTTTCCGGCTTAAATTTTAATAAAAGGGGGCGTGCACCAAACTCTCAAAAATAATTTCTCAGAGCTGATTTGAATATTTAAAAAATCCAAAAATTATAGCCGATCGCACATTTACTAACTAAACCGTTTCTAAAAAATGGCTCTGGGGGTCATATTTAAGTCGATGGTTGATGCCAGCTCTACAGAGTGATATTTGAAGGTCCGCGAAATAAAAACGATACCCAAAGTCTGCGAAACACATCCAAGGCAAGAAAATCACCAACAAATAGTCTACGTATACATAAACTTAGGATCCCCGTAACCTCTTGAGCAGCCGATGATGCCTGTGCATGATCATGACCATGGGGCAGAAAATTGAAAATGGTCGTTTCATTTTGTGCTGTACATATAGGCATAAGCTAATCATCTACGAGACTGTATGTAAATCACAGCGGACAAGGGGGAAGGGGAGGGAGTGGGAATATGGGTCGCGAGATTATCGAAAAATTTGCCTAAATGAATAGTAAATCCGCGCAAGTGACTTGATCCCACTTGCAAATTATAAGAAAAACTCTTAGAAATTTTCAAAAATTCGAGTCAGCCTTGTCAATGTTTCCGGGAAGTGAATGTCGCCACTGGTAAGTTACTATGTGTTGCACCCGAAAATGCCTGGTTCCCTTATTTTTCGCGCCGTTGAGTAGCGCTTGCTCGCACATGACTAGATAGGATGATTTTGCGAGCTATCGCGTTGACTTCAAATTGAATCAAGGCCAGAGAGATGGAGGATCGCGAAACGAATGAGTAGGAACTGAAGTGATTAGTTCACGGCGAGAAAATCGTGTCAGACGGCGTGATTTTGATGACAAAACAAGCTTTGCTCGGAGATGAGGCTAAGTAGTCACAGCTCCGCCGATCTTTGTCGTCTCGGTCTTTGCAAGTATATTGAGTAAGAGCCCTTCAGTTGAACTTTACCAGTGGAAATCCTATGTGGGCGTAGAAAAAAGAGGCTGCTGCTGAGCAAGCTCGGATGTCGAGCAGCCACATAATCATCGGGACCACGGAAAATTGAGTCATCTGTAAAAACATCTTTTCTGCAAAAGATAAGGCAGTTGCTTCTAGTGATGTCAGTGCAAAACTCTTTGCACTTGTTACTATAATGAAACCAGTATGAAAAACACACTTACAAGGTCAGTCATAGCAAGCAGTGTGAGATAGGTGTAGACTATGGTGCTTTTTCGCAGCAGCGGATGAGTCAAGGTGATTACAGTAAGCACGTCTCCAAGAATGCCAAATACGATAATAACTGGTGCGATGTACGCGTAAGTGATCTAAAACAAAGCATTAAGTAGGAAGAAAAAGCCATTTTGATGCTGCTTTTTCAAGGATAGGTATTGTCCAATCGTCGACCGCAGGGAGTGGACGTCATTGCGGAACACGCGACGCGCCGCTGGTCTTGTAGCAGTAAAGTCGCTGTAGTATAAATCTTACTTTAGCAGCGTATCAGGAGCTCATAATGTGAAGGGATGTTTATGGAGACTTCACACATGCTAGCAAATTATGTTGCGAAAAATTTTTTTTGGTTCTTATGTTTCCGGCTGTCAGTCCACGCGGTCGACGACTTGAATGTACACACTTTTCTCAAAACATCTTTGCGAACGCACCTCATATTATTTGAAGGACGCAATAGTTTTTATTAGTCGATGTTCTAACATACAAAATTGCCCGAAGTTTGTCAAAACAAAACGTACCATGGTTGAATTGACATGCTCACAAGTATTTAGGTCAAAACCTACTGTATTCTTACTATTAGCTTTTTGAATACAGACTACTCAGCTGCTTCCTTGAAAACAAATTTTTGCACCACAGCTGATTTGCTATAATCACTTGACACGGTGGATTTGCGTCAAGTCTTTTGATGAATATTTTTTCGTTACTCAGTAATCAAATAGATGAGTGTACTTTCAACAAGGCATAAATGTATCCGCCCACAGGAGTTCCAACACTAGGATAAATACAAAAATTCTGTTAGTCGAAAAAAAAACATTTTGAATCAATTTTGAATTAATTCTAAGCATGTTGAATTTCACGAATTTTTTTTTGCACAGGTCCAGATCCAGAAAAAAATCTGCAGATTAAGTAGTTTAAACGTCATTGCAGAAGGTTAGAAGCTTCCTTTCTGAAATTGCCACTGCGGCGTGATTGGTACTTTCATAACATTTTCCACCAGTAAGTCTTAAAGCATTTGTGCGCTAGGATACAATTTTTCTGTTTTATTGTAGCTTATCTCGTGATATTCGTGCACTATATTTTAAACAGTAGATTAACTGACAATAACAAATCGATGAAGCACATAGACAATTCGCAGATAAAGACACCGTCAGGCTCCCTCTCAGGATAATTTTTACAATTAATCTATTATAATATGGTTACAAATCTTGAAGTTTTGTAAGAAAGGCGGCTGGCTTATATAAAGCTCTCAATCAGAATAATTAATAGTTTCAATTATTGACATAATTTATTTACTATGGAATGGTCAGAAACGAAAACTGTGCAAGTTATAGAGCGTTTAGAAGCAGATTTCCATTTTCTTTCCCTTCAGAAATTCGAAGAAGATAACCGAAAGCTTACCCGGTTTAGATTGGAAGTTGGTACATCCAGAGACATATCTCGCAATGCAGTAATCCAATCCGGAGTTGTATTCGAATTGACCAAGGCACATGCATGGTGGTAGGAGGGCATTCCTCTCTAATAAAACTTCTTCAACACTGAAACTTTGTTAGTTTGAGTTGAATGGAAGTGAACAAGACAATATACAACATGACGATAATTTGGAGGAGTTTTTGCCTTTGACAAGAGAAGTATACTCAGTCGAAGTGTTTCTCCATATAAAATGTATATTGCCTCGAAGAGCTCGAAAGGCTGATTCCAAATCTGCTCTCGTTAATTGCAAAACGCCTTTGAGAAAGGAGTTACGAGAATTTTTTGAGGTGAAAATTCAAGAGCTTTACGAGGGTGAGCACAGTTTTTGAGATCTATTCGGAGTCTGAATTCGGAGTCTGAAACGGGTAATCACCAGCGTGGTATATTAGATTAAAAATATTATTTGCATCAAATGCTTTGGCAGTCATTATCGCCCCATTTGAGCTCAAAGGGATCCTGAATGATTTTATTGTAGCCGCACGTTTAAAAATGCGTGACTGCATTTCTGAACGTGTGGCTATAATAAAATCATTCAGAAAAGAATAGTACGCTACATAAAATTCCTCAACTCCTCTAACAAAAGGGCTTTGCAGTTACCAAAAACAGATTTAAAATCAGCGTTTGTGTTTCCAAAACCGTATATATTTCAAACGAAAAGGCCAAGTCGTCCTAGCAAGAAATTTTAGCCTTACTGCAGACTTATACACAATCAGAGATGAGTAGAGAACAATGAATGATATGACTGCGGTTTAGTAAGACTCGACTTGAAATGAAGCTTCGTGGAGCAGTGGTGATGTAATTTGTGCTCAAATTTCCAAGAGCAAAATTTCAGTACGAATCGGTAAGGAGATTGCGAATTTGCTGACTTTTTACAGAATAGGCAGAGGCTGCTGACTTGACCCTGATGAGCTAGCATAGAACATACAGGTAAACTGATTCACGATTTCGTGTACAGCCATGAATTTGTACTTAAACTGAATGTGGTGACAACCAGTTGAATCTGCATAAAATAAGAATGGATGCATGGATTACAACAGAGACGAGTTCTTGCAAGAAAATGAGGAAACAATGTGGCTACACCACAACAATTAGCAAAATAAGAGGGGAAGCTTATCCAAGCACATTGTTAGTAATCAGAAAAGTCAGTGGAATTGCAAAATTTTACATTTGACTCTGGCTTGAAGGAAGAGGTAAGCGCAACAGTACTGCTAGAAAATACGACTTTTCTAAAGCATGTATACTGAGTGTTAGCTTGCTATTTTTATCTGCTCATATTCTCGAAAATTCTCGTGATTTGATGCGTTTATAGTCATACTAAGCCCTATCTTCTCCGGAAAACTATCGAACATTGTGGCTCTTTTTTAGTTTGGGTGTCAACTTCGTCAGTTTCCATTTCTAGTAGTGGCTAGAGTGATTGTCTCAGAGGATTATGAAAAAGAAGGACACGATTAGCAGAATTCAAATTCGAATATTGAAAGCGGTTACAGATAGGAAACGACACTGGAATAAATTTTCCTCATATACAGACATAAGTAAGCTGTGGTCTGAAGAACTAGGTAAGTCAAAACCTACGCAAGCTAGAATGCACTTTCATTGGGCCCACCCATCCACTTCATGTAATCCATATAAACAAAGTTCCTCTTTATCTGAATTAGCCAAACTTTCGAAGAATGGAAAGAATACTTCTTTGTTGGGAGTGCAACCAATTGCAACCCGATGAGCACCATCAATTTTCTAAGAATTGTCTATCCTCTCATAGGCTTTGCCATTTCATCCATTTTTGCAAGGAACGGTGAAGGATGTGCAAAAAATCTGGAAGATTTTTATGTGCTTTATAAGAATAATCTATGCATCACTTTTCAAAAATTCTTAAAGTCTAGCAAGTCCAAATAAATTGTCAAGGAGTGTTCATAATAGCTAGCAATTCTCACAACGGATACTGCATTGTAGAGCAGATGAGGCTAGTTAAGTTTTGCACAACTGAGATGAAGAAAAGCTTGTGAGCGCGGCGAAATACCGATGATTCTATGAAAGACTTTAATTCAGTTGCATGAGAAAAATCCAACCCGTCATCAAAAAAAATTGCTTCAGAAGCCTATATTTCGCCAATATTTTACTCATTGGTATGAAAGTTTTGAAACTCCAGCAAGTTACTCAATGTTCCAGTTATTTGAAAGGACAAGTCTTCGGTAAATTTTCTAGCTTGAGCTTTGTGGCTTCCGGCTCACACAGTGATTAAATAATGTATAGGAGGAAATAAAGTATGATAGTTAAGGACTTTGGCCACGCTATTCTCTATAGAATATATAGCTCCATTTAGCAAATACTGTAAAGCATAGAAATCTACGACTAAACGATAGCTGAGTGAGAAAAGCAGTATAATGCTCCACAAGAATATGTCGACAACAGCCGGCTCCTCCAAATTTGACCAGATAACAACGAATAGGGTGCGTGACACGAGAAGCATTGACTAATGACGCTGATTAACGGTACAGACGACTGCATCGAGGATAAACACAAATGTCGCGACATGGTGCCACTCTCTTCAGGTGGCTATGTCTGGCAATTGCTATCCGTTGAAGAATCCATCAGAGACTTTGCTTTTGAGTAGGTGTTCGCTTTAAATGCACGATAGACAAGGGATTTCTTCGGCAATATGGGAGAGACGGCACGAAGGCAATGAGGGAGAATCAACGGCCACGCCGGAAAGTTGCTCTGCCGAGTGCTGACATCGCAAATCTCTATCTTAGCGTATAGCCATGCTGAGGATCTTTGAGACATAGCCTTAGCACATCCACACTAAATTCGTTGAGAATGTTGAAATAGGAGAATCGCTGGATGGCTATAGTAGGACAATGCTGATTGGACCAAATGCACGTGCCATTACACGCAAAATTCATGTCATTTCCAACCCAGCTTTAGTCTCGAGTATTTACTAACCTTACACCTTTTGCTTCTATCGTAGGTTCTAAAATGCGCTGTAGAGGCTATGCTTGTCAAATTTTACATAGAGAAAGAACCCGAGACATACGGGACCATGCTGCATGATTTCCTGCGAGATGCTGCACTTGAAAAGTTGATGATTAGAACAACCGGATATGCCTTTTCTTGCCTAACCTTGGCATGCTGTAATTGATCAAGATTTTGGACTCCACTGAAAATTTTCGCAGGAAATTATTCGACACTATGACTACGATAGTGTCAATTCCGTACGGTAGGGCTTTTCTGCAGTGTTACGGTAAGTAAACATACGGTAGGGACAGTGGCCAACCGTGCACATCCCCCCCCCCCTTCCCCGCGTGAATGGGTCACCAAATTTTTCTATTACTTACATGAGTTATAAAATTTTGCAAGTGACTTGTTTATTGTTGTAAACAATTAGAAAAATTTTGAAACTTAGAAAAATTCAAATTAGCCGGATAAAGAAAATTTTTCGGAGTCATGGCTGCCGCCACGCCTTTTTCCAGATTAGCGGTTATATGCCCCCAAAAATTTTGAGAAGCACCCCATCTCCGGACGGAAATCCTGGGACCGCCACTGGTATGGGGTAGTACAAGCTAAAATTACCTGTAATAAAATAATACTAAGATTGACTGGCAAACATGTTGCTTAGTGCTTAAGGTACTTGCCGAATCCGGAGTTTTAGAGATCCGAACCTCAAATCTGTTAATCTTTTAGAGGACCAGCGAGTTCTATAGTATACTGTAACTAAAGATATTCAGATTCCGGAGCTTCGGAATGGGAGAAGGCGCGGAGGAAAAGTAAGTGGCAACCCATATCTACGCATTGTAGCTTTTCATTCATATATTATTAAAAAAATTGTCGGAAAATACATTTCTAAAAATGAAGAATCCACTAACATCCGGTGATGTGTATGATAATTTGACAACTACACATTACACAGATAGTTTTACTACAGCTCGAAAATCAACAAGACTCATTAACAAGAAGACGGATACAAACACAGAAAGAACAAAATGCTTTAGAGATTTCGAAAATCTTCGACTCACAACTAAATACAAGAAAATAAAGGTTTGAACTCAAGAAATTTGATCGATGTATGTAGCTATGACATCAACTGAGATGAGACCGAAGAAAACATACGCTATTCAAAGAAGGCGTGAAATTGGAAGTTATTTCCTCCATGGGCGCTAATATGGCGTATGCTAATAACTTAACCGTTGTTAACGTCCTCGCGGAAGTGTTTTTGCACCCAACAAAGCAAGCTGAATGTGAAACTTCTTGGTGTATCAGTTGATAAGTAGCAGCAAACATGAAAGTTACCAAACTTCGGACCATGTTGATCATAAATAAATCAAAACTGGAGTAACTTACTGAAGAAGCGGCAATCTGATACAATAGTTACAACTGAGTTCAAAAAATGCCTATGAATCTGCCCAACTTTCTCAGCCAATCCAACCATCCACCAGTTTCTCTAGAATATTTTGTCAGTGAAACAATCTGCATCCATAACAGACTTACTCGATAAGATCAGTTTGCGTGAAAGTGTTGAGATCGCTTATGGTCATCATCTGATTTACACAATTATTGCGACGATAAGCTAGCCCTTCCTCATTTTGATAGATAGTTCCATTGGTAGATTTGTGAACCTAGAGAATGTACTTGCAAAATTGCTTTGGCAATACGAGGGTATTCCTGAAAAATAGCTAGGGAACCAAAAATAGGTGGAGCGGGCTTTAAGAAGCACTTTAAACATATTTGATAGACCTCTTGGAGAATGTACATTGGTTAAAGGCACCGTCCACCCAGATTCTCGGCCTCCATTTTTTGTCGTTCCTGGGCCTTCTCATGTCCCTGATTCCGAATATCAAGTCAAAAATCCGCGAAAACCCCGACAAATCCGGTTTCGAAGAACCCACGGGCGAGGCGAAACGGTGATTGGTCAGGTGCGCACAAATGGGCGGGACGAACGTCATGCCCACTCAAAGGGGAGGAGTCAACGTGGCGAATCCGTCATCCAGAGCGATCTTAGAAGCAAATTTCTCGCTTCGTAAGGTAGGTGCCAGAGTAAGCGAATATTTTGTTCAGCTTCGTTCAGCTGCAAAAGGCGCGCAGAATTACTGTCTGCTGTGTAAGCGTACGTGCATAGGAATGCAAACGATAAAGCTGTGTTGTGAGAACAAGATATAAGGCACGGATAAAGGATAAGTATGTTATGTGAATAAGATCAATTGTTGCAGATATGAGGATGACACACCACGGTGATCATAATAGGGACTGCCAGTGCCAAGCCTCAGCTGTCCAGCTACCAAGCGGCTGATGCCGCCTTCACCCGAACCACCTGCCTCCCCTGTTCGACTTCGTGAGACCTCTGTGATTCATTTATGTTTTCGTGCCAATAAATCATTATCTGTTACAGTATTGCTGGTCGTTATAATAAATGATGCTATACCACCGTGCCTCTACCATTGAGTAAGCCGCTTCCACGGCGCTACGTTTACTGCTGCTTAAAGGCAGCGTCCAGGCAAGTCTGGATACATGGGGATCTCACGTGGATAGTAATTTTGGGGTCTAACTAAGCCACTGCCCGAGCGGCAGCTCAGGTATGTAGTGCTCTAACGGTTGAGATATTCCCTTCGAAACTGGACCCCGCGATCGTATTTTGCATGGATTCATGGCGCAAAGCGTGGATCCTGGCGCGAAACTGCCACGACCATGCGACTACGATCGTGGGGTTTACTTTCGAGGAGAATATCTCAGCCGTTAGAGCACTACCTGCGCTGCCGCTTGGGCAGTGCCTTAGTTAGGACGCAAAAATACTTTCCACGTAAAATCCCCATAGGTCCAGATCTGCCTGGACGCTGCCTTTAAATGTCTAGGCCTGCTTCAGCTGCAGGTCCGGCGCAGAATTAGCGTTAATTCTGCGCGCCTTTTGCAGCTGAACGAAGCTGAACAAAATATTCGCTTACTCTGGCACGTATCTAAGCAACTTCTGGCAGCGCGAGTTGGGCAAGTTTACAGCTGGGGCCACGCTATTGCTAGGCATCAAAGTCTCATCGACCACATTTTGGGTGGACGGTGCCTTTAAGATAGGAATAGTAAGTTCCAGAAAAGAAGAGGAAACGGTAATATTCCACATTAGTTGACCCAGAAAATGAAAATCGCGGATTTCGCTAAATTTTCGTGTAAAGAGGCTATTTTGCACGCTGATTACGAATATAATTTCGTACTGCCATCTGGTGGGTTACGGTAGGATTACAGCAGGAGGTCAAGATTACGATTTGCCCCAAACTTCGTCTAGGTAGGTTTGGCACGCTAAACATGAATATTATATTCATCTCTCACGGCGCCAATTTCTCAGGTTACGGTGGGCATACGGTAGGGCTAAAAATTGTGGAATTGCTCAAAACTCTGCCGAAAAGAGGTTTCCGAGCAGACTGATTACGAATATCATGCTCTTTCGCTGCAACAATGCTTTATTGATGAAGTTACTTTAAGTTACAGTGTGTGTAAGAGCAACTTTTCCGCTTTTCAGTCCAGTTTAGATCCCAATAATCTACGAAAAGGCTCTACCATGCGAGATGGGCGCGATATACGCAGTCAGCACGTCAGATAATTCCCCTGCATAATTTTAGCATATCTATCAGTTTAGCCACTACCGCATACCTATCGTGATTGCGCGAAAAGTTTAAAACGCAAAAAGAGCGTGATATTTGTAATCAGCCTGCTCAAGAACCCCTCAGCGAAATTTTGAGGCAACTTCGCAATTTTTTCCATCTATAGTACACCCACCGTACGCTAAGAAAATGCGCTACCGTAAGACAATTATAACATTCATATTCAGCGTGCCAAGTGACCTCCTTTGACGAAGTTTGGGGCAAAACCGCGATTTTAACCAGCTACCGTAACCCTATCGTAGCACTACCCTGCGGAATAGATGTGATATTCGTAATCAGCGTGCAAAGTAACCCCCTAGACGAAATTTTAGCGAAACCTGTGATTTTCAAATTTTGGGTCAAACGTGAAATAGCGCCGAGGAAACTTTGAATGCAGATTTGAACAATTTACCTCGATGACAATCAAGTACAGCTTGTACTCGTGATAATCGAAGTCGCAAAAACAGGCCTCTCCCAGCACGTGGTGTGCACGTGGGTCCTCCTGATCAATGTTGTACACCTTGCTATATACTGACCATTCAGCGCGCGCAGAGACTGCACACCCCCTGCGTCCGATTAATATAGTTCGTGTTTGTGAGAGACAGCAAACGGTGAGAGAAAAAAAGTGCGTTTGAACTGAAAGACGCCGACCGTGTGTGCAATGGTGCCCCGTCTCTGCGTACGATGAATCGGCTTTACATCATACCTTGCCACTTAAAGGCAGCGTCCGGGCAAAATTTCGCCCCTTATGTTTCTGCCATTCTGGGGCCTTTCCGTGAACCTGATTATAGCTATGAAGTCCAAACTGTTCAAAACCCCAAAAAACCCGATTCTTGGGGACCCTATCTTCAAGGAGCGGACAATTCGGATTGCTCGTCCGCGTCGCATGCCAGGCTTGAGGAGCTGCACTGCACGGATGCAGTTGCATTGCAGTGTGCAGTGCAACTGCAATGCAACTGCATACCTGCGTGAGCACTTGTCCTCAGAGGTGGTTTGTGATACGAAGGGGCGGTTTGTGATACGTACCACAGGCCCGTATCTCCTTTTAGAGGCCACATTAAAGGATCGGACCAACGCAGATCGGATACTCATGGGTCCCTCTTCACAACTATGTGCTAATCTGGGTGGATGGATCTTGCCTGGACGCTGCCTTTAACTACTAATTAGTGACAAATAGTAGCAATTCATACCATCTACAATGATCTCTGACATATCATATCAATTCGGTTTACCTTAGTCACCGGTCTTTGGAATTCTGCTTCACTATTGTCCTCATTACCGTTCAAAGCATCATAGGCGGTTGGCATCTCTGCGGGCGATGGAACTTCTGCGTTTTCATTGTTGCCAGGGTCGTCTATTTCCAAAAATTGCACTGTAGGAGAAGTAAAATGTTATACCGAAAGCAAATACATAGCAATATACCTTGAACAAGTTCAGGAGGGACTGGTGGAGTGAACTGCGACAAGGAATGATTCAAAGAGAGAATGAAGTGGTCCTTCTAAAAAAACTTTTCTTGGAGAATACTGCATAGTGTCAACGATGAAACATCGACAGTCACACAAGGATGAAAAATAAACCCTAATTTGCAAACTGTACGGTACACCAGGCTGTTCTTTCGCTAACAATGCGCTAGACTACGAGACGTCAAAGCACTGTTGCGGAAGTTTAGAAGACTGACAAATCACCCGATCATTGGATCAGTTGAAGATTTGCCCGGGTCCTATTTGTTTTACAGTTTTGATCTCACAAGGGAAGGATACTTGATTGCAGTGACGATTGGGTAAGCGGTGTATACGCGTACACCGTCCCTAGACGGTGATCTCTAAACCGCATTCCATATCTGCTATGACGTCATTCTGGAGGAGTTAAAAAGAATTTTTGGTGCAGTGGATAGTGGCTTGGACTGCGGAGCTGGACGTCGTGGGTTCGATTCTTCTGGGATGCCACCCTTGCATTTTTTTAAATTTTAGCAGGCAAGTTGCAAAACCTATCGACACCAAAAAAGTTGATTTTCACAATACGAAGCAAACATTTATTGGCACTGTCTAACCTAAAAACACTCGTTTTTAGCCTTTTTCATTTAATACTTTACTCAATTTTACATTGAAAGGCCTTGATGAACACATCCTTCTATATATATAAAACCGAATGGGATTTCGTCTGTACACTGGTGGCTTGTCTGTACGCTGGTGGATAAGCATGCTTGTTGATGCTGTCTGTAGGTCCTCGATGGTGTTTTCGTGTTTGTCATTTTCCAGCGGAAGCTTGTTATTACTTCTACCAAATTTATCGATTATTTGCAAATTTTGAACAACGGGGCTGGGAGTTGGCACAGGGGGGTAATCGAACATGCTGATTACGAATGTGATAACTATTTTCAAAAATGCCCATTACTTTTATCATTTTATCGATTTTCTGGCAAAGTCCAAGCTACGGGGCTGGGAGTTGGCACAGGGGGGTAATCGAGCATGCTGATTACGAATATGATAACTATTTTCAAAAATGCCCATTACTTTTATCATTTTATCGATTTGTTTGCAAATTTTGGACTACGGGGTTGGGAGTTGGCACGGGAGGGTAAGCGAACATGCTGATTACGAATACAATACTGGTTAGAATTATCAGTTATTTTTATCATTTTATCGATTTTTTTGCAAAGTTCAAGCTACGGAGCTAGGAGTTGGCACACGGGGGTAATCGAGCATGCTGATTACGAATATGATAACCATTTTCAAAAATGTCCATTACTTTTATCATTTTATCGATTTTTTGGCGAAGTTCAAGCTACGGGGCTGGAAGTTGGCAAGGGAGGGTAAGCGAACATGCTGATTACGAATACAGTATTAGTTCTTAGAATTATCAGTTATTTTTATCAGTTTATCGATTTTTTGGCAATGTTCAAGCTACGGGGCTGGGAGCTGGCACAGGAGGACAAGCGAACATGCTGATTACGAATATGATAACCATTTTCAAAAATGTCCATTACTTTTATCATTTTATCGATTTTTTGGCGAAGTTCAAGCTACGGGGCTGGAAGTTGGCAAGGGAGGGTAAGCGAACATGCTGATTACGAATACAGTATTAGTTTTTAGAATTATCAGTTATTTTTATCATTTTATCGATTTTTTGGCAAAGTTCAAGCTACGGGGCTGGGAGTTGGCACACGGGGTTATCGAGCATGCTGATTACGAATACAGTATTAGTTTTTAGAATTATCAGTTATTTTTATCATTTTATCGATTTTTTGGCAAAGTTCAAGCTACGGGGCTGGGAGTTGGCACACGGGGTTATCGAGCATGCTGATTACGAATACAGTATTAGTTCTTAGAATTATCAGTTATTTTTATCGTTTTATCGATTTTTTGGCAATGTTCAAGCTACGGGGCTGGGAGTTGGCACACGGGGTTATCGAGCATGCTGATTACGAATACAACACTGGTTTTTAGAATTATCATTTACTTTTATCATTTATCGATTTTTTGGCAAAGTTCAAGCTACGGGGCTGGGAGCTGGCACAGGAGGACAAGCGAACATGCTGATTACGAATACAATATAGCTTTTAGAATCGTCAGTTATTTTTATCATTTTATCGATTTTTTGGCAAAGTTCAAGCTACGGGGCTGGGAGTTGGCACACGGGGGTAAGGGAACATGCTGATTACGAATATCATAACATTTCAGAAAATACCCCTTACTTCTATTGGTTTGATTGATTTTTTGCGATATTTGAACTATGGCGTTGGGGATTGGTACAGGCAGGTAATTGAGCATGCTGCTCACGAGCACATTCTTATTTTACAACTTGTCACTTACCTTCACTGGCTTTATCGGTTTTTTGCAAGGTTTAAGCCAGGAACTGGGATTTGACATGGGAGAAAGCGAGCATGCCGATTACGATTGTAATAAGTGTTCTTAGAAGAACCTATAATTTTTGTCGATTTTTCTATTCTTTGTAAAATTAGAGCTACACGGCTGACATTGCACAAAGTTGTATGTGAGCACGCTCACTGCAAAGATAGTTTTTGAGAATTTCCATTACTTTTATTGATTTCATCTTTTTTTCAAAGCTGAAGCTACGAGGCTCAGATGGCACTAATCCGGGGGTAAGTGAGCATGCTGAGAATTCTATAATCACACTCGGAAATGACGAAGGCGGTAAGTTTACCTAAAGTTGTTATAAATTCACTTTGGCCCGCCTTTATCTTTTTGAATTTTACTTCTGCCCCCAAAATCAGAAAAGCACATAGAGCCTGGTTTCGAGGGGAAAAAATGCTTATAAACTGAGGCGGCAAGCAGTGGCGGACCGAGGGGGGGGGGGCGGGGGGAGCGCGCGCCCCCCCCCCCCCCCCGAGAATGGGTCGCGAAATTTTTGAAACTTACCTATATGGGTTATAAAAATGTGCAAACGACTTGTTTATTTATGTAAATAATTGAAATAATTTTTAAAATGTTTTAAAAATTCAAATTAGCTTTACAAAAAAATTTTTTTCGGGGGCGTGGCTGACGCCACGCCCCCTTTTTTCAGATTTTAGGGGTTGGGGACCCGCAAAAATTTAGAGAAGCACCTCAAAAAATTTTTCGGAGTGCGTGGCTAACGCCACGCACCTTCATTTGAAAAAAAATTTTTGTCGCCCCCCCCCCCGGTCTGAAATCCTGCGACCGCCACTGGCGGCAAGATATTTCGGTACTTTTCCGTTATCTGGACCCATTTTTTTAAAGAAGAGTATTGCTTCCATCCTTGTACCATATTTGGTCTCAGCTTTACAGGGAGGAGTGCCAACCTTCTGCCACGTGTCAAAAAAATTTAAAATGTCATTTACATGCTTAACAGGTTTTACTAAGAGTTTTCGTTCAATCTGTTTTGTAGTCAATTTCAACCTCATTTCGATCAAGCATTTCGAAGTGAAAATTGTCATAATAATAACGACATACTCTTATCGATGAACAGACTAGACTTGCTCGGAATAGAGAAGGGCGTGAGATGAAATCATTTAAGAGGCAAAATAAGCGGTAGCAAGGGACTTCAAGCTTCATTTATAGTCTTTTCTGGCTAAAATCACATGGCCAAAAGGGTTTGAAGAGAAAAGCATTATTAAATCACCACTGAAAGCAAGGAAGATGATCTAAAATAAATTCATGATTGTTTTGCTTCTATGTAAAACAATTAGGGCCGCATGCACTAACATTCCCGCGGGGAGGGGTTCGCAGCTTAAAAGAAAGCTTTATATTTCGAAACTCCAGATACCTGGATTTCACGCTGTGTACCTATCCGTAAGTATTCCTACTACCCTTCACTATGAACATGTTGAAGAGGAGCGAGAAGCTGTACGAACCGCATTTTCCAGCTTTTGTATGATCCCTGATGATCCCCGGCGCTTTTCTTTAAAGTCATTTTTCTTTCTCCGAAGTTAACGAAAACCTTCCAAAGTTGTACTGAACATCTAACACAACAGTGCTAAGCATGTTGCTGATGAGAACAAATGATGTTTTGAAGTCATGAAATTTTCCATGATCCACAGGTCGAAATTTGAGGTTTACCGAAAAATTCGACTTTTCAAAAACTCATTTGTTCTCATCAGCAACATGCTTAGCACTGTTGTGTTAGACGTTCAGTACAGCTTTGGAAGGTTTTCGTTAACATCGGAGAAAGAAAAATGACTTCAAATAAAAGCGCCGGGGATTATCAGGGATCATACAAAAGCTGGAAAATGCGGTTCGTACAGCTTCTCGCTCCTCTTTAACATGTTCATAGTGAAGGGTAGTAGGAATACTTACGGATAGGTACACAACGTGAAATCCAGGTATCTGGAGTTTCGAAATATAAAGTTTTTTTTTAAGCTGCGATCCCCTCCCCAGGGGGGAGGTTAGTACATGCGGCCCTTAAACAGCTCAAAAGTGACTACAAGTTCTCTTTTACCTCCCCGGAAATGGTTTCGAAAAAAAATCATGCCAGAATGAACTGAAAAGTGTCAATTTTTTTGTGACACGTGGCAAGGAGGCAGTCCTCGTAGAAACTATGAAAAATTATTTTTAGACTAAAGAAAGTATCACATGGGAGCCTTTCGAAGAAATGGGTCCGGATAACGGAAAAGTACCGATATTTTCGCTAAGAATTTCTACGAATCAATACCTAATTATACAGAAATTTCCTTAAATTCACTTCTGTCCCTTCCACTCTGCAAAAACCATACTTCTGCCTCTGAAAGCAGAAAAGTGGTCTATGGGGAAGGACAGACCCATGAGCTTCATCCGGCACGGCATTTTCACTGAAACTTTTGGCTCTCAAACTGCAAAAACCACAAAACTCAAAAACCACACATCTGGCCCTAAAAGCAGAAAGACAGGGAGCTTGGTCTCGATGGAAGAAAGAATTATGGCCTCAGGCAGCAAGATGTTTTCGCCAGAAGTTTCTGGTTGTCGATGTTTCATTATACAGAAACTTGTTTGAAGTTCGTGGCCATTCTACTCTGCAAAATCCATACTTCTACCCCTAAAAGCA